TGAAGATGTGGCAGGACCCGCTTAGATTATGGGGCTCCTACCAGGCCCTCCATGAGCATGGCCCTCGTCCCAGCCACAGTGCCAAGTCCCTTTTGGACCCATGCTTAGCAAACCTTTTATCTAGAAATGCATCTTCATTGCCTTCCCCACTGGGCCTAGCTATAGCTGGCTTGGTGTTGGGCCCTAAATCAAGGCTAGATTGTCCTTCCAGGGAAATGTCTGCCTCAGAGAGAAGCAAAATCACTTAGTATTTGGCAGCTCAGTCTCCCTGCCAGGGGGAAGGTGACCTGCAATTGAACCCACAGCTAGTATGACACACCATTCCTCCTGCTGGGACCAGATGGCACCCCATGCCTGCCTACCCCAGCTTCCTGTTCAGGTTGAGAAGCTCTTTTTTCAGCAGAGCTCTCTACAAGCACACACGCATGCACGCACGCACGGCCTTCCCCTGCAAGTAATTTGGCTACAGGTAGGCAAAATCAATCACACAGACCTGTCCCCAAGGAAAAGGGGGGAAATCCACAAATAAGCATGAGTGTTAGGACAGAACTATATACCTGCTTTTAGAAGACCAAAGAAAACTTCAGGGAAGATGTAATATTAAAGGTGAATTTGAAGGATGAGAGGCATGTTGCAGGCTAGAGCTTAGGGGAAAGAACTAGGAATAGCTGAGTTTCTTGTGGGCCGGCTCCTGTGGGTTATGGAACGCCAAAGAAATCACAAACAGCTGCAACATACCCAGGGCCATGAGAACAAGCAGTGATGTGAGGTTGGGATGCAACCTAAGGTTTTCTTTGAGACTAGGGAGGGTGATCAGTACTTATGAGGGGAATCAAAATGGGAGATGAGATAGCATATCATGAAGAGGATGTTCTGAAGACCAGGAGCCAGACACAGTAAGACAGAGAGGACAACAACTGTGAGGCTGCCAAGACAAGAGAAAAATCTGTGTATGCAAGAAATCAAAGGGAGCTGGAGAAAAGCATGGTGAAGGGAAAAGCCATTGCCATTGAGCAAGACCTGGGGACCACAGGCAGGAGTTTGAATTTTAGCATAAGAACAATAGAAAAACACCAGAAGTTTTTAAGCTGAGGAGGGATGGAATATGATTCTTGTGTTTTCAACACTCTGGTGGCCAAGTGGAGAATGATTTGCAAATGAGAACAAAGACCGGAGCCAGGCTATCACTCTGTAGCTGTTCAAGGAAAGAGTCAGTGGTGGCCTGGGCCACAGCAGGGCCAGTGGCGGTGGGAGATATCCATGGATTCTGACCCCACTTTGAAAGTTAAGCATATGATATTTTCTCACTGATTGGATATGACAGATAAAGGGAAGAGGCTTCTGTGATTTTGGCCTGAGTAACTAGGATTTTGTGCCATTACCAACATGAAGAAGATGTTGGGGAGAGGAGTAATTAAGAGTTGAGTTAGGCTCATGTTAAGTTGGAAATACCACTGTGGTGTGGAATAGACATTTGGAAACACACTACCATCTGGGTGCTACTTTCATGCACCATTGGAACAATTATTTACATCATCATTTTCTTTAAATCAATCTTAAATAGGTTGACTTTTTTTTTCTTAAGCTTAATGCTAAGCAATACTATCCATACCAATCAAGAGTTTTGAGAACTACTAGAATTTATTTTCTAAATATATGTTAAAATAAGTACTGACACAGTCATAGTGTTCAGGTCCCCTTTAAATTCAATTCTGGCATTTTCTGCTTCCCCATCCTCCATCAGGGTCTGTGTACCTAGCATGCACGGGGTCCAACTGGGCATTTGGCCTTCAAACTCAGGAAAATCTGAGGAAATTCGAAGGAACTACAGTGGTGCATTGTAGAAGAGAGACTGGTCCAACAGTTCTATAAACCCCTGTGGAACAGCCACCTAACCGCCCCCACAGCCTCTGCTCAGTCCACTGCTTGAAGGGTGGTGGGCGGTTCACAAAGGAGAATCCACCCTACCCACTTTTCTGAGGTCCATGCGCCCTCTGGTGGCTGGGTTCCTTCTTGTTTGTGCCTTAAGGACTTGTTTCCAGGATATGGAGGGGGGAGGGGTATACATGCCTTAGTCTCCCTCGGAGGGAGGGGAGGGAGTGGTCAGACTAGCTTTAAGCTCCAGATCAAAGAATATATAAATATTGCTAAGGCTTGGACTCAAGCTATGCTGGGATGGAGGTGTGGTGGGTGGGAACCAGGGCTTTTGTTTTGTACAGAAGGTTACAAATGCAGAGAAAAGCAATTTGATGACCATATACAAATAGAGCAATTTACCTTTGGTGGGTATTTTCAGAGGAAAATAAAAAACATTCCAATTTTAACATTTTTTTAAATTAATAGCAGAGAACATCAGGCTGTGCTGAATAAATACAGCACATAATGGAAAATGTACTTCACTTCTTATATTACAGTCAGTTACAGGAGAGAGGCGGGGGCGGCGGCCAGCCACAGACAGGAGAGAGTCATGCTCTTGCAGAGAGAACAACAGGGAGGGGGTGGGTGGGGGTTGGTCAGAAACTGACACTGTCTAGGCTGACACACAGGTGCTCACATGTACAACCACATCATGTTCACACAGATGAACAAACACCACACTCAGGCATGCAGCCACGCACACCACACACACACACACACACACACACACACACACACAACACAGACTCTCTCACACAAACTTAAGAGAAAACGGACATTCAAGGTACAACAAAAAGTTGTGGGAGATTGTGCCCAGCAATGCTGGGGAAAGGGAATCTTGGGGCAGGGGAGGGGGGAGAGGAGAGCCAAACCCTATAGTACATGTATCGAACCAGTGGGGTCCCCATGTGACCCAGAGGGGCCACCTGCTTTGCTATAGGGATACCAGCAAAGACCAGATTCAAGATTCAATATCCACTCCATGATGTGGGCTGGAGGTGAACACCTATTGGGACTGAGCTGCAGGTGAACCAGGCTCCAGGGAGAAATATTACAGATTTCTTGCTAAAACTAAGGCAAACGTTTTCAATTTTCTGGCCCTAGTGCTATCCTATTCCTGCAAAAATAGCATCTTGTCCAGGTTCCAACAATTGGTGAAAACTGAACTTCTTAGTGAACCCTAGCAACAAGTACCTTGGCAAGCAGCTGGCTGGGTCTCCAAGGATTTTTTCTATTGGCTGTGCCTCTCTTGAGGTGGAGGGGCTTAGGAGTCTTTTCTTCCATCCCAATACCCAAAGGGTATCACACAGCACTGTCCCATCATAAATACCATTTTCCTGTTGTTGCCACCCTCAGGTATCAGGACCTGGACCTGGGTAATGTTACAGATCCTTCCAGGTGAGGTTTCCCCTGGTAAGACTTATTATTGTAAGCTAGGAAAGAAGCCAAGAAATTATGTTAAATTTCAAAGTCTGACTAGAAGAATTAATTCACATAAAAATGAGTAGTGACACCAAAAGCCTAAGAAACAAGAAAAACACTAGACAAATTGACCTGCAACAAAATTAGAAATTTCTGTGCATCAAAGAACACAATCAACAGAGTGAAAGACAGCCAATAGAAAGGGGGAATATTTTCAAATCTTATCTGATAAAAGGTTAATATCTATAATGTATTAAGAACTCCTACAACTTGACAACTCAATTAAAAATGGCCAAAGAACTTGAATAGACATTTCTTCAAAGAAAACATACAAATGACCAAGAATGTGAAATACTCTCAAAAATCACAACTCATTAGAGAAATTCCACTCAAAACCACAATTAAGACAGTCTCATACAGATTATGAGGACTACTGTCCAGAAAAAGAAAATAAGAAATGTTGGTGAAGATATGGAGAAATTAGAAGAAAGTGTATGCTGTTGATGGGAATGTAAAATGGTGCAACCACTGTGGAAAATGGCATGGAAGTTCCTCAAAAAATTATTAATAAAATTATCATATGATCCAGTAACTACACTTCTGGGTTAATATACAAAATGTAAAAATGGGGTCTCAAAGAAATATTTGTACACCCATGTTCACAGCAAGAGTATTCAAATAGCCAAAGGGTGAAAACAACCCAGGTGATCATCAACATGTGAATGAATAAACAAATGACATATTTGTACAGTGAAATAATATTCACTTTTAAAAAAGGAAGGAGATTCTGAGATACATTACAACATAGATGAATCTTGAAGACCTTATGCTAATTGAAATAGGCCAGACACCAAGGACAAATACTCTATGATTGCACATATATGAGGTTACTAGAGTGATTAAATTAATAGTCAGATAGTAGAATGCTGAATACCAGGAGCTGGGAGGAGAAAGGAGTTATTTAATGGGTACAAAGTTTTAGTTTGCAAGTTGAAAGAGTTTTGGAGATTGATTTCATGACAATGTGAATCTACTTGTCACTATTGAATTATACATATAAAAGTCATCAAGATGGTTAGAGTTATGTGCATTTTATCACAATAAATGAAGGAGTGAATGTTATGTATGGACATGAAAGCATGAGAGTCCACAGCTAGATCTTCTTGCCCACTGATCAGTATTTGTCCCTCAGACTGCTGAAATCTAGTAATACCAGATCAAATACCTGCTTCTCCAGAAGATCCTCCCCAGCCCCCCAGATAAAACCATGTTTCTCTCAAAATACAGATGCTGGCAGATGGAAGCAGAGTAGTTTGGGTTAGTTGTGCTCATTCGTTCATTCCCACTCACTCTGTTTGCTCACTACTCCAGTGAATAAACATCTCAGAACCTCTACTCTATGCCAGGCACATCATCAAGGCTGCAGACAGCATTGAGGGAGACTGTCTTGGCCTTGCCCTCAAAGGGCCCATAGTCTGGAGGGGAAACCACATCCATTAAAACCAACCACAGAGGCTGGCAGGGGAGTGGGTACAGGCAAGGGGGTTCTCCAGAGAGCTGGTACCCAGCTTGAGTCCTATAAGACAAGTAGGGGTTACAGGCAGGGGAGGATTTCAGTGGGCATGCCAGGCAGAAGGAGTCTGGACAGCAGCAAAGAAATGTGAATAAAAGGGAAGAACAGGAAAAGAATGTGGAGAAAAGAGCTGAGCAATAACCACAAATAATTGAAAGTAATTTATTAACTTCAAGTGCTGCTAAAGCACATATGAACTAGAGTATCCCTCCCACCACCAGCCTTCAAGTCTTCTTTTGAAATGCTCTGCATAGAGGGGTGATGACTAGAGCTGCCAGCCACCTCCTTCTCCAGGTGGCATTGCTCACTGGATGATTGTCAGTTGCCTCACTCCTCACTCCCTTTCCTGGAATGGACCAGAAACCAGAAGCACCATCATCTCCTGGTCCAGAGAGGACTTCAGAGATGCCACTCTTGGCTGGCAGAGAGACAGGCTAATCAAAAGAGCAGAGTGGCTACATACAGATGAGCTAGAGAGGGGTAAGAGAGCAGCAGAGAGCATGCCATTCTTTGGATGGGCTTCTTCAGAGCAGATCATTGTCCACACCTCCAGTCCCAGGACAGACTCCTAAAGGACAGTTCAGCTGCTGCTCTCTTCATTCCTCAGACTTGGGCAGGCTGAAGCTCCTGGAAATGCAGCCAACATGGTCTCTACTGTCCACAAGCTTGACTGTTAGCTACACTCAGAGGGGTACCCCTGGATGTTTAGACCAAAATCATGAGCTTTGAAGAGGCTTTGGGGAGAATTCAGAGGGAAAGAGATGTAATGCATATGAATCTGGAAATCTAGACAGCTCTTCTACCTCCTGGGGTCAAGGCAAGGAAGGCTGCAGAGGCCATTGGGCTCGCACCCTCATGGCTCCTCAGCAGTAGCTGGCTCTGGGCTGGTCACGCCATCTGACAGGTAATCCTCCTCATTTTGTTTCATCTTGGTCTCCAGAACTGTGATGCGCTGCTTGAGCTTCTGCTGGGCCCCTGTGTACTCAGCCAGCAGGCGGGCAAAGCGCGTATACAAGGTCTCCATGTTGGTCTCCAGTTGCTCTAGCTTTTCCTGCACATCCACCTCCATGCTGGCTGCCACCTCATTCTCATCCAGCAGCCCCTCCTTCATCAGGATCTCCCGACCTCTCTCCTCCAAAACCTTCTTGGCGTCAGGGTACTCAGTCACAGCTTCCATGAGATCATCCTTGGACAAACAGAAGAGATCTGAGTAGCCCAGGCTGCGGATATTGGCCGTGCGCCGATTGCCCATTTTGCTGCCCTTAATGTTAAGGATACTGATCTCTCCAAAGCAGCTCCCAGCAGATAGTAGAGCATACTGAGTCACACCATCATCAGCCACCACCGCTAACTTGCCCTCCTTGATGATGTACATCTCCTTGCCAATATCCCCCTTACGGCAAATGTAATCCCCGGGGCTGAAGACCTGAGGGCGAAGCTTCAGTACCAGCTCTACCAGCAAGCCAGCTTCACAATCCTGGAAGATGCGCACTTTCTTGAGTGTGGAAAGGTGGACATTGATGGCTATCTCAGCCCTGAGCTTAGCTGGCAGATTCTTGAGAACTTCCCGCTCATCCACTGACTTCTTATTGGTCCACAGGTAGTCAAACCACTTAATGACCTTGGCTTCCATCTCCTTGCTGACCTTGCGGAACTGCATGTAGTGTTTGACAGCATCAATCTTGGCCTGGAACTCTGCCCTGGTAGCATTCATGTTGGAGATCATGGAGCCCACATTTCCCACGATGGTGGCAAAGATGAGGACACCAATCAGGAAGTCAAAGATGACAAATAAGTACTCCTCATCCTTTACAGGGGGAGGTGTCTCCCCAATGGTGGTGAGGGTCAGTGTGGACCAGTAAAGACAGTAGATGTATTCCCTAGCCAGGTAGCCATATTCAGGGTCAGTGATATTGGGATAGACCCAGGTGTCAACCCCAAAGCCAATGGACTTGGAGATGGCATAGTAGATGCATGCATTCCAGTGGATGATGACCAAAATGTAAAGCACCAGGTTGCTGATACGAAAGATGTTGGGGTAGCTGGTGCGAGTCTCAGTGCGATCAAAGAACTCAAACATACGGGCAAAGTGCAGTAGGCGGTTGAAGCGCACCTCAGGACTATGGATGCCCACAGCAAAATAGACGAGGTCTGTGGGGATGATGGAAGCCACATCCAGCTTGAATTGCAGGGTGTGGATGTAGTTGTCTCGCAGTTTCTTGGTATCTTTGACCAGCAGCCCCTGCTCTAGGAAACCTAACAGATGTACAAGCCAGTATGTCACCTCTTCCCTCAGATCTGTTCCTCCTTATAGGATAATGATAAGCAAACTAGTCATTTATCCCTTCATCCCAAGGAGAGATATAGCTCACATGGTAGGCTGTCCAGAAAGACCCAAGAGAGCACCCCCGATCAATCACCAACCAGGGTTCCAGCCAAGCATTTGAGTCCAACACCATGTCTAGTAGATTTCTTCAAAATTTGGACTCAGGCCTTTGGACTTAGGTGTCATACTGCCACCTGTGCTTCCCAGATGCTTACTCACCTGTGCGTAATCGGATGAAAAGGTCTGCAATGTAAACCAGATCTGAGAAGTAGTCCAGTACCAGCCACACCAGGAAGTAACCTCTCTGTAGGTCACTGAAGCAGGCTCTGTGAAAGAACAAGGCTGGCTTCACCCTCAGAGCCAGTTGAGGTCTCCTGGAAGCCCCAAGCTGAATGTCTATTTGTTCAAGGCTTGAGAGGGCCACAAGGGGCACTGATAAGTCACAGTCAGCCTGGTGCCAAGGAGACACTGGCAAGTGACTTCTACCCCAATCCTTATCATTATGTAGATATCACTGTGTGTGCATCACTACTGACCATTAATTGCCTACCTCACACATTAGACTGTGAGCTTCAGGAGGGCAGAGACTTCCTCCATCATCACTGACAGTCCTATGCCTAGCCTGGGGCACCGGAATTCAAGTGTCAGTTGAATGGTGTCAGTGGAATGAATGAATATGTCATTGGAAGAGCAAATTACAGCACACAGTTGAATAGATTCCATCTTCATCACTTCAACATACACCTACTGAGCACCCAACACAGAACACTGGCCAGCCAAGTATGGGTAAGCCCAAGTGAGCTAGGGTTAGGGTAGAAGAAGTATGATTGGAGAAAAGTTGGAAGCTGCAGGAGCTCTGTAGGGTAAATTATGGATGGGGCCGGGCCTAGGAAAGGGCCTGGGGATAGGGAAAATTAGGGGATAGAATCCAGGATGGTGATCCCAAGAGTGTACTAGGAATGGTAACATTTAGAATCAAATTCCAGCCTCTTTTTCACAAGGCTGCAGAACCACCAGTGCCTGCCATTGTCATGGCTTTCATCCACACTAGGCCATCCCAACACTTTGCACTTATTCCTTCTGCCCACAATGTTCTCTCTGCCAAGAATAGAATCTAAACAGCTGATTGCCTCCCACTAATGAGGTCTCAGCTATAGTCTCACCTTCCCAGAGAGGCCCACCCTGACTGTTAGATCTCTAGCAACTTTCTGCCATCAGTTCCTGGAATCATCTTGGTCACTTCTGTCCTCCAGTAGCCTAAGAGTTCCAAGGAAGAGATACCATGCCTGTCTTGCTCTCCACATTATCCCCATCATTGAGCCCATAGCATGGTACCCAATAAGTGCTCAGTTAAACCCTTTCTGAATGACTGAAGTGGGAGCAGAAAGGAGTGAGGAATGCTGCCAGGCCACGTTCAAAAGGCTTTGAAGGCCATTCTTAGGGCTTGAACTTTGTCCTGTGGGCAATAGGGAATTGAAATGTTTTTTGAGGAGGGAGTAGTATCACCAAATCCCAGTTTCTTAGAATCACATTAGTTACAAGTGTGGTAGATACAAGAAATAGATATGGTTGCTGCAGGTGTCCCAGGAAGAGAAGAAAGTGGGGCTAACACCTTTAAGACTCCCTCTAAAGGGAACATGGGCTATCAAGGTAGATGGAGGTATTTTTGGCAGCCAGAGAATCTGGAAGGAAGGTTGGCTTGGTATGAATACTGTCTTATGCTGGGACTGGCTGGGACCTGTGTGCTCTCAATCCCAGGGCCTATGGATTGCTCTACTTTTGGCTACCCTCTTCCAGACCCCTCCCTACTCACCTGGCCACCAGCAGGCACCAGTTGTACAGGACAGGCATGGCAATGACAAAGAGCCAGCGGTAATACCAGTCCCCAGCTGGGTCCAAGACAAATAGTTCAAATTTCTTTCTAAGGAAACAAACAAAGGCCAGGCTTGAGGACCAGCTCCCCCAAGGAGACAGCACTACATGTTTTGGAAGCTTAGGGACCCCCAAGAATCACTGCTTAAGGGAATATGTGGATGAGGGGTAAATTGTCTTGGGGCTCCATTTTTCAGGGACCCAAAACCTGGTACCATACATCTGACAAGTGTGAGACACTCCCCTTTCTGGATGTAGGGTGGCCCATTGGCTCTGAAGCTCTCTGGAAGCCCCTTGCCCAGAAGGCACATCAAGGGGCAGAGTTTTGGATAGAGAAGAGCATCAGGGTCTGGGGAGGGATAACCACAGGTTGGTAATGCAAGCTTATCCCACTGTTCCTATATCCCTCCCAGCAAAAGAGACAAACTCCAGGCAAGTGAGAACTACACGCTTCTTGCCCACCCTACTCTTTCTTTTTGCTCCCCAGCCTCCAAATCACTTTTCCAGATGCTATGCCATATTTTGGCAAGAGCCCTTTTCCTTCACTGACCAGAGGTGGGGAATGTTAGCTTGGCCAGACATCCACAGTGGCCTACTCCTTCCTCAAAGAGTAGACCCTCAATCTCTGCCTTCTGCACCCTGTCACTTTCTCCTGCTCAGCCATCAGAGCCTTCCCCATCAGGTTCCTACATGGTCTCTTCCAATACATACTTCCTTGCCCAGAGTAGAGCTGGAGTGGGCCTGCCCTCAGCAGCGCTCTCTGATTGCATCCTCCTCAGCATTTACCAACTGCTGGAAGTGAGGCTGGAAGTGGCATGCCACTGGCTGAACCCCCTCCCTGCCCACATTCACTTTATGAGCAGCAAGAGGACATCTGATAGAAGGTCAGCTAAGGTGAAAAAAGACATTAGATGTTCCCATAGAAAATAGACCACGGGCTATTGGAGAGGCTGTAGGTAGGGACAACAGAAATGTTCTGGAGTTAAAAGCATAGCAGGTCATTTCTGTCCATCCCTTTCCCTGTTATGACAGGGCTTGACATAACCCCTGGTCTGCCCCTGGCAGTGGCATTAGAAACTACACTGAGTTCTGCAATTGTGTGCTTGGGAGCCCTTTGAGCCCCACAGGCTGGACGGTTGTACTTGGTGCCCTTTCCCTCGCCGTCTTTGTCGCCTTTGCCATCCCCCTGCTGTGTCGTCACGGTCTGGAGTTCAGGCCCACGAAAGCGCTCGAGGAATGAATCAGGCCTCGCTTCCTCCTCCCTGAAATTCCTGTTGGCCCAGTCTCTGATGACCCCCACCAGGCGGACGATCCTAGAGATGAGGGAGAGAGAGCATGAGCCTGAGAGCTCACTGTTTCAGCAGAGGGAAAATCGGGGGGTCATGGGAGATGAAGAGGGAAACCTGGAAACAGACCAGGCCATGATTTCCTGTGTGCTAAGAACTGGGACATAGGCCAGCATTGAGGGAAGGGTCTGGGACTTAGGCATGATTCAAATACATCCTGTGGGGACGGGTACCTAGGAAGATTTCCAATAGAAGGTGCCATGTCATTTGATTGTGCAGAACAAAAAGCAAGTCTTCAATGCAAAATGGAGGTTGTGTTAATGTCAGGACAGGTCAGGATGGAGGTTGCCTCAGGCTTCCTGATTTCCTTATAGAGCCTACTGGTCTGGGGTAGTGACCTCGGGGCCCTCTACCGAGGCCCCTCTGCAGTGAGAGATACCTCCCCGCAAAGTTCAGACTGTGAAGTGTGAAGGGAGGCCTCCTCTGGCCTCTCCCATCTTGTCTCACAGGAGCTTTGGTGTTGCTCAGGTCTCTAGTGTCTGATAGAAGGCTTAGAGGAGTTAAGAGAAGAAGGGCCATTGTAGTCACCCTGACAAGCCTCATGGACAGAAGGGGGAACAGCAGGTTAGGGTGGGGGAAATCACCTTCGGAAGCCACCCCTTCCCCGTCGTGGGGTGTCCATCTCCGCCAGCCTCTGCAATTCAGAGGAGGTATCATCATCAGCCGCAGACTGTGGCCTGTAGAGAAAGCGACAGAGTTGACCCAGGGTTCTCTGGGTGTGTGACTTGTCTTGCCTCCTAGGACATGCCTAGAACTCTTATATTCCCTTGAAAAGGAATCCTAAAGCCAAAGATAGCTTGCTCTACAACAATGGTGCAGGCATGATGGGGAGTAGCAACCTCTGGACCATCTGTGAAATCACCCAGCCTCAGCAGACTCACCTGCTGCTGGTCCTGCAGTCATCTTTGCCATTGGCCTTGATGGCAGGGGGTTCATGATGGTTATTGGCTGTAGCACTCTTCACACCATTGGATTTTTCAGTCATTCTCCATGTACAACCAGGGCTCTTACCTGCCAGGGATATGACCAAGGGAGGTCACAGAGGATTCTCATACCCATATGGAGCAGGAGAGCTATAGGCAAGCAGGGTGAGAATAGAACCAGGGCCCAGCTGGCTTTGATAATTCCTATGTTAATAAAGTCACTATGGCAAAGGAAACAAAACCATATTCTGTAGTTGAGCACTGTTTTCATTTTGAATAATATATCGTGTGGAGGAGTATAGTCCTTTTCTTGACACTTGGAGCCTGGCACTGAAGCAATGCAGAGTCCCACTGCTCCATACTGCCACAGCAGGACTTAGGAGTATCGAGGTTTGCTCCTACACTGGTGACTTGAGCAAGGAAGATGCATTCACAAAATAAATTGAGAAGGAGTATCCCAGGATGGAAGCATCCAGAAGAGAGACAGTATGTCTTGTCATAGAGTCAGGGAGGCTGGAATATAAGATCCTCAGAACAGCTGTCCCATGCTGGGGCTCATCAGTGTGTCACACCAGATGTGAACAGGAATGGTTATCACATCCCCCAGATTTACCAAGGCAGCTACTACTAGATTCACAGCCCCAAAGCTCTTCCAGGACTCCACCATTCCCCACCCCCAGCTACTTGTTCCAGCTTCTGAAGCTGTCGCCATGGCAATGGTAGGACACGTCAAGCAGCCTCAGAGATGCTCGCCTGGTGCTCTCTGTGGGACTCTGGCAGCAGCATGCTAATGAGGGCACCTGAGGGAAACAAACCAGCCTCTGCAAGTCCCTGTTTGGACCTTGGAGGCAGTAGACCGTGGAGACAGAAAGTTCCAGGCAATGCAAACAAAGGCAGGGCCACTCACACTGAACAGTTTCAGGGCTGGCCTCCTGGAAAAGGTGATTTTAAAGTCCAAGCTTTCAGTTCAAGAGGAGCTGGAACACAGGGCCAGGCCATCTCTGGGGTACATCACCTTCTATGCTGCTGTCACCAAAACAAATTCCTCTTCCTTGATCTTGTGCTCTCTCTGCCAGAAATAGGACATCCGTTCCCCTGGCTGCCTGGCTGTCTTCTGCCTTGCCTAACTGACAGCCCATTGATTTTCAACTCCTCCATAAATCTTGTCTAGTCCTAGGGCTTCAAGTGCCTGATCAAGTTTCCAGGCCAGGAATCCCTTCCAGGCTCCCAACACATATCTCCTGCTGCTTGCTGGACATCTCCTTTGAGACAACTCAAACCCTCAAACCCAACATAGGTAAAACTGAACTTGACACCTTCACCTATAAGTCAGTTTCTCTTCCAATTTACCCATGTTATAAAGGGGCCTACCCTCTTCCCAGTCACTCAAGTCAGAAATCTACAGGTCAAGAATAGCTCTTTACTTACTGAATCACATCCAAGCAACCTCTTTCCTGAGTTGTTTGTGCCCTGCAAAGTGTCAAGCATCTCTCTCACTATTGCCTTCTATTTACAAGGCCTTGACCTGGTCTCTAGCATTCACTGTGGCTGCCTGGGTCTGATAAAGGAGACTCTGTTTGGCTCAGCACTCCCTGGACTAAATGGGGTCCATGGATACCCTCATGGTTTATGAGGGAGTTAAAGTTGTCAAGGGGATAAGCCTACTCCTCCATATCATGAAACCAGAGAAGAGGGCTGACTGAAGCCTTCTGAGGAGCTGCAACGATGGCATATAGCCCAACCAGCTGACTGCATGGAGGAAATGGAGGGCAGGCCAAGAGATATGGGATACACAAGGAAAAAGTTCCCAGGGAAAGGAGTTTCAGGAAAAAAAAAGACTTCTACAGGGCCAATGCCCACCCGACCCCTATGACAGGGAGATAAAAGCAGCTTGGGAGGCCTGATACTTCCTCTCTGAGATGAGAGCATGACTAAGGCTTACCAGTGACCTTATCAAGAACAGCACCAAGGAGTGGTGGTAAAAGAAGATAAATTTCATAGGGTCCCATTGTACGGAGTAGGGAGTGAGGGACAAGAGATAGAGCATGTAACTAATTCTTTCTAGAAACTCGACTGAGAAAGGCTAGAGATAAAGTGAGATCTGGAAGAGGATGGGAGATTGAAAACAGTTCTCTGTGTTGCTGTTTTTACTAATTTACAACAAGAAGAAAATAAAGCAAGTTTAAATGTTTTAAGGACAGATTTGATAGAAAATGAAAGTGTTTGTGCTTTTGACCAACCCCAGTTGAGGGTGGAGCCTGTGAGAGGTGGGAGTAAAATGGGTTGGTTCAAGTACCAGAGGAAGTACAAAAAGTGTTATTAAAAATCCTAAGACCAGAGGGAAGCAGGTGTTCAATGTTTTAGATGCTAGTAGGGATACAGTGAGAGGCCATTGAAAGATTCACTTCTATAAAAGCCCAGCTTTGTAAGTGAAATAGGAGGGGTTTCTACTTTCAGAAGTACCAGGCAGAAGCCTTCAGAGGAGGCCAGAAATTTTGCAATAGGTGTTCTGGGGATGGACAGGGGAAAACCAAATAAACATAAGGGCAAAAGCAAGCTTGCTGAGAAAGGGTAAAAAGCCATGTGGTTGTCACAGAGAACAGAGATGGGCAGGAAATTCTAGTTGAAGAGTGGGATCCTCAAGGAATGTGGCTTTTAAAATCAGAGGAAGATAATGCCGATGTCATAAAAAGCCCAACTTCAGTCATGTTGTACTCATAGGCCTCGTTTTTCTTCATCCACAAGCTGAGTAACAGCACAGGATATTATAAAAAAGTGAGTCTGGAGTGAGGAGTGCTCAAACCCTGCAAGGAAGCATTTTAAGGACAACTCATTCAGACTATGGGTAGAGATAAGGCCAGAGAGAAAAGGGACATGTGAGTCAGACAGCCAAGACTGAAAGTTCCAGTTCACTGCTCACTCAAATGCTCCATGCCCACGCTGAAGGCACCAATTGTATGCCACGTGTTGGGTGGGTGCTGCCTTTAGAGATGTAAGTCTGGCAGGGTGTCTAACTTCAGGGTGAATCCAAGATTCAAAGACACAAACAGAAACACAATCCATCCTGAGAGTCATTTGCATTTCCATTCTGTTTTTCTGCAGCATCTGACAGTTTCTTGAAATAATGAGCTCTACTTTCCCAGTTAGATATCCTACTTATCAACCACATTTTGGCATTCTCTGAAGAAGCTTCCTTCTCTTTTCTAACACTAAAGCTTAGAGTGTTCTGAACACAGTTCTTGAATGATCCATATCACTTACTTGTCTTTTCTCTCGAGTAGATGCTGATGACTTACAAACTTGGAACACCAGCTCAATCTCTCCTGTGAACTCTAGTTTGCCTCCCTGGAAAAGCCACTTGGATTATGAATAGGCTCCTCAGGCTCAGTATGTCCAAAACCAAGCTCTTGATCTTCCCCTCCAACCATACCCTCCACAGTCACCTATGTCTCAGTCAAGTAATGCTATTCTCCCTGTTATTTCATTCTAAACCTTACTGTTATCCTGACTCCTCTTTTTTCACACCCCACCCACTCTACATATGCAAAGAATATGGGCTTTACCTTGAACACATGTCATATATCTAATGGTTTCTCACTATCTCCATCATTGCCATCTTCAATCCAAACTACCATCTTTTCTTAGTGCCTTGAGATAGTACATGCTCAATAAATGAGTTTTGGATGAATATTGTATGAGTGGTCCCTACATTTTTCCCAGTCCATGACTACTTCTCTTTCTACTTTCATTCCTCAGCTTAAGCCCTTACTATATCAATTAGGTGATCTTAAAGGAAGATACAGTACTTCTCTTCTAGGCTAATATGAAGCAACAAGGATTGAATATATCCTCCATAATGAAATAAGAAAACTTAGAAACAATAATTTTCAAGTTTCTAAGTAATAGGAAACTTAGGTCAGTAATCCTCAGAGGCAAAAGAGCTGAAGCCCTGCAATTGCCCCTGATTATTACCTGTCAGAGTTTCCAGGCCATAGCGCCAAGAGAGTAAATGCAGGTAAAGCCTGTCAGTTTCCCTGGGTTGAGGAGACCAAAGCAGCTAGAGCCTGCAGAGGAAAGTATTGGAGAGGAGAGAGCTACACAGAGAGAACTCCAGAACGAGGGTCCCTGTCAAGTATTCAGCTGAGTGCTTAGCAATGAGGAAGATATTCCTGGTCAAGGAATGAACCATTCCTCAAAATTAGGCATTATATCCCTCACCTTTCACACAAGGTCTGATGCCAGCAGCCCAATTGGAAAACCTAATGATTGGTGGGATATTGGATAGAGAACCCAGAAGGATCTTTCCTCAGTAGTGACAGAAAATTAGTATTTAGACTGAGGACTCTATAGTCCTATTGAAAAATCTTAAAAGCAAGACAAAAAAGAACAAAATACTTTTCACGGAATTTAACGGAATTCCAGAATAAGACTCAAGAATGTTCTTAGAAATACCAAAATGTCCAGCTTTCAATAAGATAAATTTCACAATATGTGGCATCTACTTAAAACTTAGGCATGCAAATAACTTCTCCATAATGAGGAGAAAGCCATTTGTGAAATAAAAAGCACAGTTGTCCCTCAGTATCCCCAGGATGGTTGGTTTTAGGACCATGAATGACAAAATTCACTAATATTCAAGTCCTTTATATAAAATGATAAAGCACCATATTTGCATATAACCTATGCACATCCTATCATATTTTTTAAATAATCTCTAGATTACTTATAATATTGAATATAATGAAATGCTATATAAGTAATTGCTAAGCTGTATTGTTTAGGTAATTATAGCAGGAAAAATTCTGCACATATTTAGTGCACACACAATTTTCTTAAAAATTTTCAATCCATGGTTGGTTGAATCTGTAGATGCTGAGCTCATGGAGACAGAGGATCAACTGTTCATTGGATTCATGGAAGATCAGATAGTGTAAAAGAGATTAATGAACTTACAGACAACATAATAAAAGTGTCCAAAATGAGACACAGAAAAAAAGGATACAGAAAAAAAAAAGAGCAAAGCATCATTGAGCTGTGAGACAACTTCAATGGCTTAATATGAGTGTAATCAAAGTTTCCAAAGGAGAGGAAATAGAGGAGATATTTGAAGATATAATAGCCAAAATTTCCCCAAACTTAATCATACTATAAATCCACAGATATAAGAAGCTCAATGACACAGAAGCATAAAAAAATGAAAACTACACCAAGACACATAATAATGAAACTGCCCAAATCCTTTGTTAATGGGAAAAACTTAAAAATAGCCATTGAAATGAGGCATATTATGCACTGAGCCACAAAATTAAGGACGGCATCATGTGCCTGAAATTAAGAATGGGAGGAAAGTCTCTCTGCTAAGCTTCAGGCTTTCCTTCCAACTTCCACCTGGATGTTTCTCTCAGGTTGTTATTGGACAACCACAGCTCATCTTGTCCCAAGTCACAATGAATTCATTACCACCATCAGCCTTATGATGGTTAGACATTTGTGACTGACCAGAACTTCAAGCCCTCAGCTGCTAGCCCTCAGGATGGCTTGGCATTCAAATTCTCTCTGAAGAGCATGCCTTATCTTATTCTTCCTATCCACAGCTTCCTGGACCTGGAGTGAAATTTGTGTTTGGACTTTGCTTCCCTTCCTGCCAGCACCCCCCCACACACCCTGCACAGGATGTATTCTGCCTGAGGACAAGTCAGCATCTGTTCTGTGGTGCAAAGCATACCCAGCACTGGAGCTGGTACCTGGAAAATACTGTATGCTGTTGGGGAAGGAAGAAGAAGGATAAAGGGAAAGAGGGAGCAGGGAAGAAGGATTAGAGGAGTGAGGGAAGTAAGGAAGGGATAGAAAGAAAGATAAGGAGGGAGGGAGAAAGACATAAGGCCTAGAACTTGGTGAGGTTCTGAAGAATATCAGAAGACAGAGTTCTAAAAAGGGGATTTTCAAGCCCAAAGCAATAGGTAGGGGAGACTAGCTGCAGTAGGTCTTCCAGGAGGCACATGAGACCCTCTAGGTGGCCAGATGCCTTAACTTCTTGTACAATCTAGGTTCAAGTTAACACCAGGCTAAGCCAAAGATTTTATACAATGTTTGCACAAGGATCTCTTTTATGATTGACAGCCTAGAGATGGAGATTGCAAGTCCTAGCTAGAAATTAGTCCCCTAGATATTCACTCTGGCCATTGCAGAGAAAAAAGTCATAGGCTTCTAGTGTGTCATTGACATCATAGGTAGTGGAGAAGCTGGGAAGCAGGGAGGTGGGATGACAGATAGAAAGCAACAAGAGGAAGGAAGAGGCATCCCTGACAGGCACCTAGAACCTCAGGGGCAGAATCTCATTCACTGAGTAGCTACCTGGTGCTAAACACTTATCATAAGTCAACTTATTTAATCTCCATGACAATCCAACAAGGCTGACATCATTATCATCTCCATTGCACAGATTCACACAGAAGCAATCTGGTTCTAGTGCAACAGCCAACCACAGTCCAGCTGGAAGGCAAATGGAGCTTGGGTGTGAGGGCCAAAGGGAGAATTAGGGTCAGAACTGTACCAGCATGCTCTTGGGCTGACTGAGTTTTGATTATAGAACTGAAGCTGCTGACTGTCTTTGTGCCCCAGACCTAGAAAGGACAGTTGTATGGGGCTCAGCTGTGGGAAGAAAAACTGCAGGAGCTAAAGATGGGCAACTTCAGACTGGGTAGGGGGAAGTAGTTGGTGGCAAGCCCCTGATGCTGAGCTACCTTTGGCACACAGTAGGTGCTTGATATGTATTTGGCAAGTGAATGGATGAATGGATTATTGAATGAATGAATGAATGGACTCCCTGAACTTGCTCTGTACTTTTCCAAATTCACACCTTACCTCATGTTCACTATTCCTTACTTCATTTGTATAAGGACTTAGCATCCCTTGACAATGAACTCAAGATTTACTTGGCTATTTTTCTACCACAGTTGGTCTCAGTTTGAAGCCCAGTCCAAGCTCTCAGTTTCCCTCTCTTTGGAGAGGGCAACCACTGACAAGTGGTAGTGAGGGGAAGCTGGAGGAAGCCCCGCCTGGAAAAAGAAGGGGCCCAGGGTTCTAGCTGCTATCAGAAGGCCTAGAGATGAGGCTTCTGTAATATTATCTGTCTCCTGTAGTTATATTCTAACACAGAAAGGGTGTCCACATGTTGTTCAGGATTCAAACTTGGAGGCCAAAATAGGATACTGGGTCTGCAACAGCCTTGAGAGTTTGTCCTGCCCCAAGCCTGCTACTTGGCTCAAAATCTTCCCTCAACCTGAACCTCCAAGGGCTTCACTAACAATGCATTTTCCAAAATGGCAGAGAGGCTGGCTCCCAAGTCTGAGGAGCCTGGAGTGTGTGCCCCGCTCCGAAGATCTCCTGAGGAGGCCAGGTTGCAGTTCAACAGGCCAAAATCCAAGGCTGCAGTCCAAACAGGGTTTCTGAGAGAAGCACCACATAATGCCTCCCCTACTTCCATGGCTTCTTATATGTAAAGGGCTATGGAGCTCCAAGTGACCCAGTCTCCATGCTCTGAGGTTAGGTTAGGTCAACAGTGTCCCCTTACTCTCCTAGAGAGTCATGCCTAACCAGGCAGTCCCTAGATCCCTGTGCTCTGAGCCTTCTCCAGCCACCCTCCCTGCAACATTCCTGGAAGGAGACAAAGGCTCAGGTGCCTCAGGTTAAGATTGGTGTGGCACTGCTACTGCACTCCTAGAGCCCTCAGTATTCCATTTGCCTGCTTTGATTAGGGACAAAATTTCTCCATACCTGCATTTTCCTCAGCCCCTTAAGCAGGCCATATATACAAGAGCCCATGTCAAAACTGGTTTAGGATCCACACATTTTCAATGTGCTCCAGCCCTGACATATACAGAGGATACCAGTCTGTAACCACAGGAAGATGTCAGCTCAGTGCCAGCCACTTTCCTCACCAATCAGATGACTTCAGAGGCAGGGAGTCCTGGGGCCGCAGTCAGCATCCATCCATCCGACCACACAGCCTCCAATCAGAGAGAAACCCTGGAGGGGGCTCATGAGCACCTGAAGCCAGAAGAGACCTTCTACTTCTGTCCTCCAGGCAGTGGGAGTCACCCAGCCCCTGATGATACAGCTGGTAGCTTCCCAGTTACAGGGCCATTTCACCCTGCCTGATACCAGCAGGGAAAGCTGGCAGAAACCCAGAAGAGTTCATGGTCAGAGTTCAGGTGAGCTCAAGACTCTGGCCTACAGTGCCACAGGCCCAGTGGAGAAGCTTGCCTACTGGTGGGCCCAGGCTGTTGGCAGTCAGGGCTGGATGCTGGGCTGCCTTGCTGTGGAAGCTGTGTGTCTGCCCAGATCCAGGAGCTGGCCCCTCCCAAGGTCCCCAAGGGATCCATCCTTGCATGGAGCATGCTCAGGGCTTTGCCTCTGGAGACTAGAGGCTGCCATGCACCTGCTTTGGAGTGTTGGCACAGTCCAAGCCAGCCCACCTGACTGGAGGCCAAGCCAGAAAGAATCTGTGAAAGATGAGGATCCCAAGGTGAGGCCAGCCTGAGGGTCAAATCCAGCCCTCCCTCTAAGATTCCTTGGACTTGGCCTCAAAGAATATAGAGTTGGGGAAGGAAAAGAGGCAAGAGATCCTGGGGCAGTAAATCTTTGACTCCTTTTCAAGAGGCCTGATATTTCAGGCTGGTCCTAGGTGTACCAGAGCCCCTCCCTGCACCTTCATGACTCCTCCTCACAAGATCACTTTCCCCAACTGCCTTCCCCCAGATGCTGGGAGGCCAACTGAAATTGAAGAACTGGAATATTAAATTTCAGCCTCTGCCCAGCTTGGTAGGCAGGGCTTGACCAGAGGTATATACTTTCTACACCTGCACAGATGGCTTGGAAGATGAGCTCCTCCCTCAGGGAGCTGTGCAGAGAGGTCTAAGTGAAAAAGCATGAGACACATACAGTGCATTTAATCCACATGGTACAACACAGAGTTTGCATAGCACACACCGTAATACTGTCTCTGTGCCCCTTAATGAACCCTGCAGAGGGGTCCTTAAGGACAGAGTGATAGAGTGTTGGTCTAGCATGTGGAAGAGGCCCTGGGTTCAATTTAAGTTTTGTTTTAAAAAGAAAGAGGAGGAGGAGGAGGAGGAGGAGGAGAAAAAGGAGAAGGTGGAGGAGGTGGTGCAGGAAGAGGAGGAGGGGCAGGAGAAACCCTGCAGAGAGGCCCAGTGTCCATCTCCCAGGCTGCCATAGAGGCCATCAAGAGCACTTCTGGCTGAACTTCCCCTCAGGAGGTCTCTGAGGCCTTCTTGGTGGGGCAGGCAGTCAACTTGAAAGCATGGCTAGGAAGTGAGCCCCAGGCCATGCCAGGAGCCCACCCAGTGTCCACATTTCAGGCAGGTCAGAGAGGCAGGCAGAGCCCAGTCAAGGGCTCCATCTGAGCTCACCTAGCTCAGGAGGTGTTTCTCCATGGGGGCCACCGTGCTGTTTGTTTGCAACTCAACTAAATTGCTCCCAGAGGGGAAACTTTATTTCACAACATATTTTCAACCGGAGACTTTCCGCAAACAGGGCTATATCTGCGCAGGTACACGCATAGCTGGGCCCAGAGGGCAGACCCAGCCTGTCTCTGTCTCTGCTACAGTCAGGTCTTCCTCAGAGTTTCCTAGTGGGCAGAAGAAAGGAGTGGCCTTAAAGGGACCATGTGAGGGCAAGCATCTTTGCCTCCTTAGCTTCTAACCCCTCTGCTCCCCTTGAATGTTTCCATGGAACCAAAGGCAGTGGGTATACTGAGATGTGGGCAGGAAGAGCCACATGCTACCTCTGTCTGAACAGCTGGGCTGCTCCATCTCCCTGCTTCTTTTAATATTCCTCTGTGTTTTGGACCATGGTCTGTCCTTAGGCTCTAAAGGGTAGAAGGATGGCCTTCAAGAGGGTCTCTCAGCCTTGCTTCTGACCCTCAAGCAATTCCTGGGTCTCCAGGGCCCATTTGGGAGGGACAGGGAACACTCTTGGCCCTCATGTGCTCTCTTGGATCTCCTAATAAAAATTACTTATTTGGGGATGTTGCTGTCTCCCTATTCAGCAGAGGGATTTCTTCTGGCACCCCACTACCCCCTCTGCTCTGGGGCCAGAGAGAAAATCGACCAACTGGTTCTTCGCTAAGTGTCATTGTCTCAACTTTCAGCAGGGCCAAGGCTCCAGGGGCCACATATATGGTGTCTCACAGGGCTCACAGGAGATCCTGCATCCTGTCAGAAGTACTGCAGTCCAGAAGAGGGAGAAACCTACCGAGGATCAGAGAGAGGCAGGGTCCTGGCAGAAAAGGTGCTGAAACTCAAGCCTCTTCTTTCACCCACTCTCTCCCTCTTTCCTTTCTTCTCTCCTTCTCTATCTCTGTCTTTGTCCTTCTCCTTCCCTCCAATATTTCCCCTTCTGTGCTCTCCCTCTTTCCTTCCATCCTTCTCCACCCTCATATGCACAGATGGTTATGTTCATCTCATATCTAGTGACACACTCACCACCTTTATAGATACAGAGAAACCTCAACAGACTTGGGGAACAGAGAAAGGTCCATTTAGTCATAAAGCCAATGAGAAAGCCCTGGGTCTCCATCTCTACACAGATGTGTATTGATCCCTGAGCCCCAGGGAAATTGGCAGCAGCTCTTCCACAAGACTCCAGCAACCTGGCACACCTGCACCATGGGTGACCCTGTCCTAAATGTATTTCATGAGGCTCTGGGTCCAGGAAACATCCAAGGGGAGCAGAAGGTCTAGAAGCTAAGGAGGCAAAGATGCTTACCCTCACGTGATCCCCTTAAGGCCACTCTTTTCTTCTGCCCACCAGGAAACTCCAGCATTCAGAACCGTGTCAGGACTTCATCCCCCCAAAAATCCATAGGTGGCAAGCTACTCTGTAGACGAGAACTCTGGAAAACCCATCCAAGACCTTGCTCTGTTCCTATCATGCTAGACAAGCCCAGGGACATGTTTCCCCTCTCTGGAACTCAGTTTCCTCCTGGGTAAATGGAGCAGCTTCTGGTCCCTTCCAGGAGCTTAGCTGTGATCGAGTCTGGGCAACACCTGGGCCAACATGCCCTACAGAACTGCTTCCCTGTACATACCCATTGGCACAATAACAACAAGAAGGTCTTTATAAAGCCTGGCCATTAAAGAAACCCTCTGCTGGGCTGGGGACACTGAGGGCTGGGAAGGGAAAGGGGAGGAGGACAACAGGGTCCCTGGAACATTGTCAGCAGCCAAATTCCAGCCACAGGGCCTTTCACTAGAGGGATTTTTACCCAGTGCACCTTTCCACTACTGGCGCAAATGAATCATGTATATAAGAACCTCAAGCACCAGGTTTCGCTGTTGCCATTAGAATTTTATTGAGCATGTTCTTTGTGTGGAGCCCTGCACACTAATGGAAGAACAGGGGAGAAAGCCGAAGCAAACCTTGCCACAGAGGTTGGAACAGAGCAGACAGGAAGCTGGAGCCAGTGAGGCAAGGCCCAGGGAGCCCTCACAAGCAAGCAGGCAGTGCCTGCCACTGGTGCTGCTGGAGGGGCGGATGCCACTCTCTCCTCTCCTTCCAAGACGGCACATCTCAGCTCATGCAGACTTCCTCTGGCTTCCAGCAGCTAGAACCTCCCTGATCCTTCCTAGAGGCTGGAAGGAGGCTGGGACAAGGCAGCTCTTGGAGAAAAGGGATGAGGGGAGGGAGCAGAGGCTCTGGCTGTGCTGAAGTGCCTGTGAAGCATCACTGGCGCATCCATAGCCACAGGTTGGCGATGCAGGCAGACACCAGCATGGTGAAGAACACAGCCTCCCTGTGCCGCCAGGTGGCGCCCTGGTCCTCGAGGGCACGCAGGCGTCCAGTGATCATGTGCAGCTATAGAGGGACCAAAAGTAGAGCTGGTGAGCAAGGCTCTTCCAGAAAGCCAGAGGCTTGCCAGTGGGGGGCAGAGGGGAGTGTGAAGTTAAAACAAGAAGTAGTTTTGCTACCCTTTAGCAGGCCCAACTGCCCCTGGATGAGAAGCAGCCAGCCTGGCATGACCTAGTAGGACCCAGGGCCAGCTTCCTTCTCTCTCTCTCTCTCTCTCTCTCTCTCTCTCTCTCTCTCTCTGTGTGTGTGTGTGTGTGTTCACTCCAGTTCTCTTCAAGAGGCCAGCCTGCCCCCACTATAGCAGGGTGAGCTCAGGAAGAAAGTGGCTTTTCCTCCTAGGGTGGGCATGTGTGGCTGCAGTCACAGAACCAGAGAGAGGACCTCAGGGCCTGAGAAGGCCACCAGGACAGGTGCTCATCCAACCTCCTTCTCCCACTCCTGGGACTCCTTTCTAACAAAACCTGAGCTTGGTTTGCAGCTGAGGCTACCCTCTGCTGACCTCTCAGCACCACTGTCTGGCATTGCTCTGACATACTTCTGTTTCCTGCTGCTCCCCCTTTCCTCTTCCCTGATTCCCTTGCCACAGCTCAGAGACAGAGCTTAGTCTCAAGGGTAAGCATCAAGCTAGAACAGAAGAGGCAGTAGGCCTTGGAGGAAAAGAAGAGAGCCCAGCTTCACCTCACCTCAGGGTGCTATAGGTGAAGATGATTGTAAAGGCTATGTGAAATCAAAGGTGTGGCTTTGCTTATAGCTCTTGAGGCTCCCTACCTCCAGGCACTATGTTGCCACCTGCACCTGCCATGTGGGTCTGGTAGGGCAAAAGCTCACCTGTCTTCTCATGATTTCCATCTCCAGTCCATTGAGCTCTTCCAGGCCAATCTCTGCTGCCATACCTGCATCTGAGTTGCTGAGGGAAAAGCAAAACACAGAGAGTCAAGAGTTTCTGATGGCACTAAGGAGGCCCTAGCAGAGAGGAAATCCAGGAGAGGAAGCAGGCCAGGAACTTCTTGAATAGTGACTCTAGCAGCCTGTAATAAAGAGGGCCCGAAGGCTGGAAGTCAGCCTAGTCCAGGCTGCCAAAGAGTGAATGTAGGTTTCCAAAGGCCAGGAGGCAACAGAACCCCAATATTTCAAGCAACCACACTCCTTCCTGGCCAGGCTGCTCACTAAGCTCTCTGCCCATACTGGTCCTCACCTGGAGCACTCAAGGTGCAGCTCTTACCGTTCATAATGGAACCTCATGCCTTGCAAGATGCCTGGATACTCTTGGGGATGGGCACTGCCATGCACTGTCTCTCGTGACATTCTGGGCTTCTGCAGCTGGTGCCCCTACAAGAAAGAAGGGTCACTCCAAGTCATCTGCTCATTCCACCTAAGCAGCTTCCCCACACTTTGCCAAGATCTGATGATGTATCCCAAGTGGCTCATGTGGTGCTTGACCCTCTGGAACCAAGGGCAAGCCACTTTAGACCACTGAGAAAGCCTGGGCACCCCTATCTGCACCATGTTCCTCAGAAGCCCTGGCCTTGAAGGCTGTGGTGAAGAAGAACAGTTACAGTGTCCTCTGCCAGAACTTCTATAGGCAAACATTACCTGAGAATCCAAACAACTTACTAAAGGAGAACGTGAATTGAGGCCTGGCAAGGTGCCTTCACTCCAAAGGACACATAGGAAGAAAGGGAGCTAAGGCCAGCACTCTGGCTACTGGGAAGCCACAGATTCCCTCCCTAAGTGAGGCCAGCCATTCCTGGAGCTTTCGTTTTCATCCATCTGCTAATGACTCCCCAAGTGCATGTTTGAGGTCAAGGTTATCTGATGGCTTTGAAGAGCATTGTGGGGTGAAGAAGCAGAATGTGGCTTTTGGTGGCAGGCTTTCCCTGGGCTCAATCATAGCTGTAGGTTTCCACACTTTTTCTGCCTGCTAGGGACCCTGCCACCTTCTAAACCCTTATCAATAGCAAGTCATTGAATCCTTATCACAACCTCATGAAACAGGTATTATTATTTTATTTTGAAAGATTAAGAAACTGAATCACAGAGAGATTAAGCAAGTTGCCCAAGTCACACAACTAGTAAGTAATAGAGCAATAATCTGAGCCTAGGACACTGTTCTCCAGAGATTGTGCTCTTAGCCATTACACTATATGCCTCTCATACTGCTTCCTCTTAAGATTTCACTAAGCAACAGTGAAAGCACTGAAACTGTACAATCCCATGAGAAAGATAACAGCAGGAAGTGAAAGAGCTTAACAAAACTTTGAATGCAGAAAGTGCCCACGGAGGAAACCAGCAGACAAGCAGCCCTGGGCATGCATGGGAAACAGATGGGGCACTGCCAACTGGAGAGGCTGGCTGGCAGTACCCAGGCCTGGAGGCTGCAAGGACAACTGGTGGGGGGTGTCTCAAGAACAGAGGTGGAAAATAGGAACATTAACTAAAGTTCTGTGTATGAAACAGTCATCTACCCTTCTCCCTCCACCTGGCTGGCAACCAGACACTCATCCCCAAGCCAAAACCTGAACCAAATGAACAGGAAGCCCGGGGTGTCAGTACCACAAAATAAAACTCTCTTTGTCTTGGCATTTGCCCTGCTGCAGTACAACCTACCACTTGGCAGGCCTCAGCCAGCTGTGCCAAGGTCTGGGCTAGCACTTGTGTTAGCCTCATTCTTAGAAATGAACAGACAACTGCAGCTCACCTATCACCTTGGAAAGATCTGCTCTTAGGTAACAACATTAAAATGAAAGTGAGGCCATTTCCATGAAAAGAGCTTTCTTAGGAGCTTTTCTACTAGGTTCCATTAGTTGCGATAATTCAAAATGTATTTTTTTCGAAAGGAGTACACAGATACTGCAGTGACTTTTGGGGAACAGTTGTTTATATTAATAATATTTGATCTTCTTAAGAAACTTCAAAATAGCACGAAAATGACACTGAGTGTGAGAGAAACCCTGGGACTACAAAGTAGATTTGCTTACAGTCATCTTCTTAAAGAATCTCCAGACTACCCCTGTGATTTTCCTATAGAGTGGAATCAGGAAAGCAAAAGGAAAATTTTGAGGAATTTGAAGGCAAAGTGATTGGTGGCCAGATGTTCTGTTTGAGGCAATGTAGTTTATCAATACATCAATATAATAGCAATTAATTTAACAATACCTTCTGTTTGATACCTTGTATTGTGACCACTTCATGTGATGGCTATAACTATTCTAAAAGTTATTTGTATTTTTTTGTTTGTTTTTAAAAAATATTTTTTGGTTGTAGATGGACACAAAATCTTTATTATTTATTTTTATGTGGCGATGAGTATCAAACCCTGGGCCTCACATGTGCTAGATGAGCACTCTACAACTAAGCTACACAGCCCAAGCCCCTGTATTGTTTTTTTTTTAATTTTTTTTAGTTGTAGTTGGATACACTATTTTTATTTTATTTATTTTTTTATGTGGTGCTGAAGATCAAACCCAGTGCCTCGCACATGTTTGGCAAGCATTTTACCACTGAGCCACAATCCCAGGCCCTTGTTTATAATTTTTAATTTTAGAACTACTTTTTGGGTATACATTAAAAAATATAAGATATATAGAGAGAGATAGATAGATATAAATATATAGATATATATATGTTGGGGCTGTAGCTCAGTAAAAAAGTGTTTGCCTCACATGTGTGAGGCACTGGATTCAATTCTTAGCATCACATAAAAATAAAGATACTGTATGTTCATCTAGAACTAAAAATTTTTTTAAAAGATATATATTATATATATTATATATGTGTGTGTGTATATATATATGATTAAGACTAGGAAATTCTATTAATTGAAACACATGCCAACTTCCTTGTTAATTATATCAAAAATTGTTTTTCTTATTTTCCTTATGTTCCTTAAACATGTTTTTAAACATGTTCCTTATGTTTTTAAGGAACACTACTTTCCTCCCCAAATCAGCAGGATAGCATTATTAATTTTTTTTTACCTTATATATTGGGATTTTCCCAGAGGCACCAACCATTGTATTAATCATCATATTCTAAAGTAAGCAGATGAATGAATGAATAGGATTAATAAATTAGAGTTCTTAATTCTAGAGTTCTAAATTGCATTTCTAATTCTAAAGCATTGCCCTCCTCTAGCCCTATGGCTAAATGTTCACTAATCCTGCTATTATATCCCCTTCAGTCTCAGTATCATGAGTGGCTTCCTAAAGCCTGGATTCCTGGAGCAACTTAATTTGGCTTCAGTTTTTAGACCCAGAAAGCCAATTTAATATTTCTAACTTATTTTTTGTTTCAGAAGATCACTGACCTGGAAGGCCCTTTTCTTGTTATTCACTAGAGCTTGAATCATTTCAGCCTAGTAATCCTTTACCTAGAAACCAAATTACCCTCTTTGCAAACTTGATGCCTCTCTCAGTAACTTTTTTAAATGCATTTTTTAGTTTTTGTTGGACCTTTATTTTATTTATTTATTTCTATGTGGTGCAGAAGATCAAACCCAGGGCCTCACACATGCCAGGCAAGTGCTCTACCACAAAGCCACAACCCTAGCCCCCTCAGTAACTTTTATTAAAGTATAACCACTTACACTTTTTGAAAGCATTCCCTCACTCATCCAAATATAGCTGACAGGATTGGTTACAAACTTAACCAATCCCATAGCTATATCCTATAACAGTCATGGCTCCTTCCTCTGAAAAATGGCTGCCTTTTTTTTGCAACAATGTAGCTGCCATTTTTCTAGAATATTCCGTCACCCCACGGATTTGTATGTGAAAAGATTGGCTACAGAATTCCAAGACTCAGGAAATGCCCTAGAACAGTCAGTTTTCACTCCCTCTCCAACCTTGTTGTTTTCCCAGTAATCTTTGCAACACTGTAACAAAACAATTTTTCTATACTTCCTCACACAAGGTGAATATAGCTTACAAAACTGAAGGCAAAACTTGATTCTTTGTAACAATCAGTTCTCCCTTTCCTTCAACCTGATAGCCTTTTTCTAGTAACTCTTGCTACTGTATAGCAACCATTTTTCTAAAACTTTCCCTCACCCACAGTGAAAATGCCAGGAGTCCCCTTTCTCCATGGATACCAAAATCAGTGAATGCTCAAGCCCTGTATATAAAATGATATAATTGCATAAATCCTATGTACATCATCCTGCATAATTTGAATCATCTCCACATAATTTCTAAAACCAAATACAATGTAAATGCTGTGTAAATAGTCCTTGTATTGTTTAGGGAATAATGACAAAAAAGCCTTTGTGTTCAGTACAGATGCTTTTTTCTCCAAATATTTTCCATCCATTGTTGGTTAAATCCACAGATGCAGGATCTGTGGATATGGTGGGCCAACTTTTGGCCCTTCTTTATTTACCATGGTCAGGCAAAAGCCTCTATAACCAGTACTGAAAACCCCAACCCAGTCACCATGTGTCCAAGATCCCAGACAGTACCAATTTTTTGGGCCGGGTAGCACCCATAGTCCAAACTGTTTGGCTTGCAGAAGAACCAGAAGCCTTTGGTTCCAACTTCTGTCGCCTCTGGGGAGCACCTAGTGACCAGGATCCATGCTCCATCATTTCTAGAGAGAAGAACAGAGACCCTAAAGAACACCCATAGAAGTTATACTGGGGCTTCCTGGGTGTTAAGACATACCAGAAAGAAGACAGTGCCCCCAAAGTTCTTAAGATTCACTCAAGATCCATTCATCATTACTGATCCCAGACCTGTTTATTCATCTGTTCAAAAGTTCAATAACGATATCCTGAAGGCCAAGTTCTGGCCTAGGTTACTAGACAGAGTAAGCAAAGAGCAAGACGCAAGATCCCAGACATCAATGAACCATTTGCTTGTGTATAAGAGCGAGTGGGAAGTACACAACAAAAAACAACTCATCAGTACAAATTTAGAGAAATGATGGCTCCATAAATGACAAAACAGGTAACATGATGGAAAGAAAAAGCAAGTTCTAGAAAAGTAGGAGTCAGCACTGATACAGAGACTGGAAACAGATCTGAAAAGAACCAAACATGGGGAATTGAGAACTGAGGAAAAGAGCAGACCAAGGGAACAGGGAGCATAGAGCCTGTAAGGAGAAACAGCTTGAGATGTTTTAAGAACAAACACAACTTCAGGGGCGGGGGGGTTGGCAGGGAACTTGCGCACTGGACAAACATTGCCAGAGCAGAGAATATGTTAAGGAGGCCCTGAATGCATCTTCTACATTGCATGATTTGGATTTGACTAAAAGACAAGAGAGGATTCAGAGACAGAATTAATCAATTTATTAAAAAAATTAAGCCCTACAAATATTTTGCAATAGACACAGCGGTGCGTAAGATGGAAGGAGTCAGAGAAACCATACATGTTGTTTGCACCCTCCTCCTTCTTGGGCTACAAAAGACTTATATCATCATCTATTTATCACTTTTCCCACAGTTCTCTGTAACCAACACAAACACTCCAAAACCCAGACACGACATCTAAGCATGCATGCATGCAAACACACAAACATATATGCACAAAAGCACACCCAGAGGCACATGTACCTTCTCCAACACCCACGAGCACAAGTGTAGATGAATGCCTACATGGTCTATATATGCTAGGGGACATTTTAAAGGATCCTCACCTGCTATCACCAGTTGCTCTTGAGTTTTCCCATGGCTTCCAGGCCCCACTTCTTCAGCTATGCACATTTCTATCTCCTCCTTCATGCTAGGGGGCCCTCCTGCCATCACCACCAGTTACTCACTTGAAGCTATGGCTAAAGATTCACAGGGTTCAGGGCACAGAGGAAGCGCCTGGAGAATCACCTCTTCAAGGGGCAAGAGCTCAAGGAAGATATACCCTGACAAGGCGGGTGGAGCCAGACTCCCTTCCTGGGTTCAGACCTTGGACTAGGCACTTTATGTTCCTACTGTACCTTGTTGACTCTGCTATGTCCTTCTTTGTTGCTACTTTGTAAGCAATTTAGGGGAAGAGATACAGCTCAGGGCCTTTGCTTATGAGAACTGCTCTGGTTCAACAACCTTTGATTTGGCTGGTTGGGGGAGTACTGGGGTTCAACCTCCATCATTTCTAAAAAGAGGCAGAGACTGGCACAGGATCTAACAGTCAGTCAGTGGCCAAAGCAGGGTCAAGTACCAAGTGTATCATGGCTTCTGTCAGTCCAGCTGTGGCCAATAATCCAGGCCATATCACTCCATCAGAAGGGATTCTCTGTAGAATACACCACGTCCTGCCTCCCCCAGTCTGAAGTTCCTGGGCAAGGGAGATGCCCTTGCCCTGATTTGAGTTAGCCTGGTCAGGAACTATGAGATCCAAGGGCAAAAAAGAGTGGGGGGGGGCGGACTACTGTAGCCACGGGAGCCTAGGCCCTTCAATCTTGGTTTAAGTCTCAATTCTCTCTCAGTTTCCCTACAAGTAGATTGCACCAGTACATATTTTTTAGGTGTCACCTCAGCCAGGCTCTAGTCCCCAGTGAGCCCATCAAATACAACTCTAGGCATTGCTATGAAGGTATTTTGTAATTATGGTTAGCATCTATAATCAATTGACTTTAAGCAAAAGAGATTGCCCTCAATAAGCTGGTGGACCATGACCAATCATATGAAGTTGTTAAATACAAAAGCTGAGGTTTCCCTAAGGAAGAGGAAATCCTACCTCAGGATTTCAGTTTCCATTCCTACCAAAGTTTACAGCTTGTTCTACAGATTTCAGACCCACTGTCACGTGCGTCAATTGTTTTACATCTATCTGTATATGCTTATGCATCTAGGCATACATACATCCTGTTAGTTCCATTTCCTCCGATTGATACAACTACCAACGGTCAAGGCTGGGCTCCAGGGAACAATTCCAGACCTCCTGAGGGAAGGGGAGGCTATCTGTAAAAGGAATCAAGCACAGCTGGGGTCAGGTGGGAAAAGGAGGAGGAAGCAGGCAGAAGAGGAAGGGAAAGAAGGAAGAGAGGGAGAAAGGAAAGGAAAAGAAAAGGGAAGGGCCAAGATCAGCTGAGGGAGGGTGGCAGGTTCAAGGGTTACCTCCCCTCCTGTCCAGTGCAGAGCTCTGACATAGGCTCTGCCTGCATTCCTAGGGGCCCAAAGAAGCTCCTCTCTTCCCACTCCAGCTGAGCAGCTGCAGTGAAACCTGAGCTTTCTGGAAAGCCACCTTAGGAGCAGAGAAGCTGAAATTTGTGTGCACTAGGATTCAGAAGTCCAAGAAGCTGGAGCCATATGTTTCTGCCCAGCCAGGATCGCCAGATTGAGCAAATAAAACTACAGGACACTAAGTAAACTTGAACTTCAGATAAACAAATCACTTTAGTGCCATTATTATGATCCATGCAATATTTGGGACATACTTACACTTAAAAATGTATTCATAATTTATCTGACATTCAAATGTAACTCAATATCTTGTATTTTATCTGGGAATCCTATGCCCTTGCATCCTCCCTATGACCTCAAGATTTAACCTTGGGTAAATCTGTCTCTTCTTTGCGTTTCATTTTCCCTGATGGTCAATGGACTAATGATCCTCTCTAGAAAGTAGCTAGATTGAGAGAGATTTATAAGTCAGCAGAGCAGAACAGTACTGGCACTGGCTAGGCACAGCACCTTGATCTACTGATTCCAAACCACATTTTCCTCTGGCTGCCAACTGGCCTTGACTCACTGGGACTTTGTGGGAACAGAAACACTGTGCCCAAGTGCATGTGGAGGCATTGCCCCTGGTGGCATAGGAACCCTCTACTTATGCCAAGCAAAGAGAATTGAGAGACTTCCTTCCCAGCCCCTGAGCCCCCTGTGCCACCCAATAGCATGCTGCCCCTCATGCATTGGGTGCCAAGGAAGGTTGGGAGGTGAGAGAGTATTTGCTATGGTGTGACTTTGAACTTGTACCTTAGTATGTTTCTAACATGCCAACCTTTACATAATTACTTCTCTATCATAATTTCCTTTGGAAATAGGCCTAAACTTGCAATCCCAATATTCTTTTTAAAATGTTGTTAGTTTTACATGGACACAATACCTTTATTTTATTTATTATTCATGTTTATGTGGCACTGAGGATGGAACCCAGTGCCTCATACATGCTAGGCAGGTACTCTGCCACTGAGTCACAACCTCAGCTCCTGCAATCCCAACATTCTGAGAAGCCTCTACTGTGTGGTGTGCTAATCTTGGGATCCTGAAGGGCAGGGTATGGAGAGAGATCTAACAAGTCTTACATGGTCTCTGCATCCAGGAGGAGGTCCATGGCCAAGTGTGTATGGTGGACTTCAGAGACCAACACTCCAATGGCAGGCTTCCAGAGGTAAAGGCCAGCAAGCTCTTCTCACTTCTATGTTAGATATCTCTGGGAAGAGGGATCTTGAGTACATCTGACTCATATGCGTGACTGTATGGTTGCAGCATGCAGAGATCTTATACAAATGAAATCTTATGCCTGAGGTACGTGCTGTCCTCCAACTTCCACTCTAAGTAAGCAGTGTGCCTTGGGGATCTCCCCATGTCAAAACAGATCAAATTTCTCCAAACCCAAGGGCAGCTGCTTCCTTCTGCTGGTCTTTTATTGACCTCCTTATGGACATTTTTGAGTTCCTAGAACATCTCGTTTTCATAAATAGTGTAGCCAAGTGCTTCTGGACACACTTCTTGCACATACGTGCACATGTGTTCTGGCCAGCAGGTGTTTAGAAGTGGTTAGAGAGGTTCTGGCATGTGGGTTGATGATTTTGAGTTGTATTGACAAAACACCATCCAAGGGAACCACCAAAGTAAAGTAAATGCTTATTCCCTCACAGCCTTATCAACAGAAGACATTATGGAACTTGTTTAAAAAAACATCATTATGATGGATGAAAACTGATATCTATCTCATTGTGGCTTTAATTTACATTGCTTTAATTATGAATAAACTGGAGCAATTTTTCATTTGTTTATTGATCTTCTGTAATTCTTTCTGGTGAACTGTCTGCTGGAGGGCTTGGATCTTTATTAAAATAAGATTTGTTTTATTAACAGAGAGGGATGGGGGTGAAAGCTCTCCCTCCCTTTAAGCCATGCATCTCCAAAGGAAACATCTTTTTTCCTAAGGTGATCTTGAGCACAGCTTCCAATGGGAACAAAACACATTCATTTAATTGCATGCAAGTTTTGGCTGAAACCTAGAGGGCATCCAGCATCCCCATAGAGCAGGCATCCAACTCAACACAGGCTACTGCCTGCTTGTCTGCCAGTTTACCCTTGTGTCTGTCTGTCTCTCTACCTGCCCTCTGTCTACCTGGTCCCATATCTCCAACAATGCCTCCTGATTACTGGCCTCTTCCAGCTACTTAGCCAGCCAAGCAGTCTGCTCAGACTAGCAATGTTCTCTCCCTGTTCCCACCTCCCTAGCCAGACACAGTTGGAGGCAGCAGATGCCCAGGCTTGGGGTCAGTGCTCTACAGAGTGACTCCTGTCCCTGGTACATCTTGGTAAGGAGTTTCTTCTGCTCTGAGCCTCAGTTTCCTTTTTTCATATGGAAGGTTGAGCTTAAACTCAGTTTCAAGCTGTGTCTCATGGCTTCAAGGAGGTGTACTGAGGGCTTCCTGAGCTGTGTAGCAGACCCTAGCTTAGCCTCTCTTCATGCACAGCTATCTGCTCTTACCACTTTCTTCTATTGGGTTTCTGTTTAAGAAGTCAGACACTAGTGCGGCAGTATGTATAAACATGGCTGTATAGTCAATGTGATCCTGCAAACTGTACACGTGGGAATAATAAGAATTCATACCCCATTTGAAACAAATGTATGATATATGATATGTCAAGATCAATGTAATGTTTTGAGAAACTAATAAATTTCTAATGTTTAAAAATAAATAAATAAATAAAAGGAAGTGAGTATTTTTCTAAAAAAAAAAAGAAAAGAAAGAAAGAATTATAGACTATAGACTAAGCTGGATCTTAGGAATAAGTTTCCCACGATGAGAAATAAAATCAATAATAAATGTGATTTTTAAGAAAAAAAAAAAAAGAAGTCATCCAAACTAAAATTCCCCAAAGCAAGTCCAATCTGGGTGTGGTGGTGCACATCTGTAATCCCAGCAGCTTGAGGGGTTGAGGCAGGAAGGTCCCAAGTCAGGGCCAGCCTCAGCAACTTAGACCCTGTCTCAAAATAAAAATTAAAATGGGCTGGGGATGTGGCCTAGTGGTTAAGAATCCTTAGGTTCAATCCCTGGTATAAAAAAAAATGCAGGTCCAAAAGCTTTTGGGGACAATAATCTCCTGCTTTTAAGCCCTGCCTTTGGCCCACTCTCAGACAGCCACAGCCTCAAACCCAAGTGAGTTAGCCCACCATCTGGATCCTGCAGGCAGCTAGGAGCTTCCTTTCAGCTGGTTAATGAAGCTTGTGGACCTATAAACAATTCTCCTTCCTGCTCCTGGAAGCAGCTGGTACTGAGGTCATCCCTGGAGTCCCAGGGCCCCCACCCCTGCCAAAAAGGAAGGGGAAGGGGGACTAGCATAGCCTTAACAAGACAGGAAGGACAGACAGAGGAACATGGGGTCAAGTTGCAGGGACTGTAGCTGACCCAGGGAAGGAAGGCCACCTTGTGAATACAGGGAGGGAAATAAAAGTGACAGAGTCACATAGAGCAGCCATTAGGATGTCCCTGATTTCCATGGAGACAAGGTCACCTTGATTTATAGTTTTCTGTCTCCATATGTGGGCTCCTCTCATTCAGTATGGCTATTCTGAATCAAGACTTCACCAAGCCTTAATCATAATTAACACAACAATGAGACTGCTAGGTACTAGGGATAATGACAAAGTCTCTTTCCCCACAGAGTTTGTATTCTAGTTGGCAGTTAAAGCCAAGCAGACAGGAAGGAAGTCCATGGGTCTGTGGAGACAGTAGTAAGGCTTTGTGTGGTGGTCACATCTGCTTCTTTTAGAATCTGGCAGGTATTTGCTGGGACTTTGTCAACCTAAGGAGGAGAGGCCAAAGGAACACTTGGTCCAACCACTGTCCTTGGTCCCTGTAACATTTCACTGCACACCTCTAAGAACATCTGGCTAGCTCTCTTGGAGGCAAGGGTTAATAGAAATATCTTCTCTGCCTGGGACAGAGGCCCTGGTATTTGGCTTATACCCCAGCAGGGGGGACAAAGTTGCCAGTTCTGAAGTTGTTAAGTGGCTCCCAGGTCTTCAGGGCTTATGACCAGAGGCAATTCTGCTGCATCTCTGGGGCCCTTCAGAATAGCACTTAAGGAGTCCTCCTGGGGAGGGGGTTGTTTCAGCCACACCAGAGGAGCCATCAAGGCTAGGGCAATGGTTGCTGGTACACTGCCCCGGGGTAACCCAGGGACAAAGAGGAGCCCTGAGAATATGAGGCTAGGAGACAAGGAGATCACCTCCTAGAGTAACCAGCTGTTTGCTACTTTTTCTTTCTCCTCCTTTCATTTCTGCTGGCCCAAGAATCCTTCCCCCAAAAGCTGGGAGCAGATCCAGAGACCAGAAAGGCTTCAGTCACCTGCTTATATACAGTACCCCAGCATCTAAATCCCCTGAGAGATGAGGGCACTTAGCCACAAAATCTAAGATACTGTTGGAGCCAGTGGAGAAAAACTTCTTCCCTGAATCCCGGGAAGGGAGTTGGAAGGTGACCTTGCAGAATCCTGGGCCTTGGCCATGTGGTGACTCCTCAGATGGAAATGCATCTGCTTTTAATTGTTTCCATGGCCAGTGACTGAAATGTGATGTGTATGTGAAAATCAGGATAATCAGAGGCCACAGGAAAATAGCCAACAATGATGAGGAGGTGGAAAAAGTGGTACAAAGTCTCAGACACTGACCAGCTCAAAAATGTAAACAGCAGCTGCCCCCGCTGAGCTGGAAAAAGAAGTTGGAGGAGAGGAGAAAAGAAAGCCCAAGGTGAGAAATGTAGCTGGGAGTGAGGGTAAAGTGGGCCAGATTGCCCCAGCTCACTGATTGGGCAGCAAACCAAGGTCATTGTATGAATGAACAATCCAGGTTCTTTGCTAGGCTCACAGGAAGACTCAGGGAGGAGCTGGCTCAAGAAAGTTTAAGCAAATGTGTCTCGAATCCACTCTACTCTGGCCTGCCCTTCACTCTTGGAAGACAGACTCCAGCAGACAGTTTGTATCTGAACACCCTGCTGGCAAACAGTGTGCATCAGGGTTGGGGGGGGGTGCACCAGAACCCCAATTTGGCCATCCATCATTCTTAGCTATTGGTTTAACTCCCATATCCTTGCTTATTAGCTGTGTGACTTTTAGTGTCTTGGCCTCTCTGTGTTGCTATGATCCTGTCTCAAAAAGGTAGATAAGTGGTCATGGAATGTGAAGCACTTGGTTCCTGGAACAGAGTTAGGGCTTGAAGCACGTGAACTGCTTAGGATTTTTACATAGTACACAAGACCTTCTTTCTGGTTACAAAGGATGGCCTGTCTGTTCGCCCATGTGACAGTCCTTTCTCAGTCCCTGAAAGTGTCATCTTCACCCTGCACACTGTCTCCAGTTTTCCACCTCCAGACATCCTGCCACTCATTCTAGTCTGGGTTTCTCAACAATTCAGCTGATACTAACCTTTGCCAACCAAACAACTCTTCTTTGGTATCCAGGATGCCCCACTTTCACAGCCCCTCCGTGCTTATCTGGCTTGTTTCCTGGGCCCTTGGGCCCATACTCATACATACTCATACTCTATGGTCGTTTCTGGTAACATGTTCAACTCTGGTCTTTCCTGCTCCAGCCTAGGTTTTTCTTCTCAGCTCTCCTCAAACACCCTCCACACAACATGCCTGACATGTCCCAAAACAAACCTGAGGTCTTTTACTCCCCTCAATCTGCTCCCCCTCTATAGTGATCCTTCCTACCAAATGGCCACACCATCTACCCCACTGCCTAAATCCCCTGTATCTCCTGTCAGTCCCAGGACCCTGAGGCATCAATACTGACTGGCCCACCCACTTGGGCTCCTGTGATTTAGTGCAACCACCCTGCTATGGAATGTTGCCCAGTCTCTAATTTTATAGCACAAAATTAGAAATTGAATGGTGAAATTGAATCAATCATAGTTTGAGTTCTTCAGAAAAATTGTTGAAAGTCACTGTTATTAGAGCTTCTGGTCTTGTGATGATTCCCCCAAACAACATATTTTATCTATAAAAATAATCTGAGTGGTACAAACATTTTGTCTATTTTTTTCTGGCACTGGGATGTCACAGCACCTTCCATAGAGGGACCCTGGGGAAACCATCCTGAAGCTTACTTCCACTCTCCCAACCCTACTGACCCTATGAGGACCTTTGACAATTGTCTCAGGTCCTTCCAGCTATGGTACGGATGAAGCTTTATTAGAGCCTGGTTTGAGACTGGCAAGGTGCCTGTCTTTGCCAGCATCTCAGTGAAGCCATTCTGTCCACCCCTGTCAGTTTTGCAGAGTGCATAAGATATACAAAGTTTGGGGGATATGACACTAAAACAGCCCCTGCCATAAATGGTGTTCTAGGTTGAATAATTGTGCTCCCCCCAAGAAATTATATGTTGAAGTCTAGTGTTTGGATCTATATTTTTTTTGTACCTGGGATTGAACTCAGGCACTTGAACACTAGGACACTGAACCATATCCCTAGCCCAATTTTGTATTCTATTTAGACACAAGGTCTCACTAAGTTGCTTAATGCCTCACTTTTGCAGAAGCACATCCCACTGTCCATTCATTGCCCTCAAGCCCATTTGCTATGGCAGTTTTGCCATAGGCAGAATGAGCAGAGAGGGAAAGGGTGAGAAGAGGGTCTTCACCTTTCCTAAGCCTACTCCTAAAGCAAAGGCTTTGCTTATTCATTCCCTGTCTCTGCTTCCCTACTATCACTTCATTAAGATCCTGACCCTGATTTGTCTTCACCCTCAAGATATAAGCAATCAAAGTATATTGGTTCTAGAACCTGTGGCCTCATGGTATAGTGGTAGATAAGAAGGAGATGATCAATGCCTTGGTTGCTGTCCCAAGGGAGACTTTGGAAGCCAGGAGCCTCATTATCTATTAGCTTCCTTGCATGGGCTAGCCTGTAACCCTAAGTCACCACCTAGAACACTAGTATCTGGAAAAAGAGACCTAGGTTTAAAATCTGCATTCACAATCTGACCCAATCTGTGTGCTGGGGTACAGTTGATGGGCCTTCATTTGACTTCTCATTATCTTCAGAAGGTTGGCTTCACTCAACTAAGCCAGTCTGAGATAAGAATGAAACCCAAGGTCTCCAGCTGCCATTTCTGGCATTTAGCCTCTACATACAATTGTCTATGTGGCCCCATAATCCATTACCTTTGTTTTACTGCTGCCAGGGCCTGCCCCATTAAAGGGCAGCTTGCTGTCATTGCTGGGAAGGCTGGGAATGTGGCAGAGTGCTTGATTAACATGCATGAGACCCTGGGTTTGATCCTCAGTACCAAAAATACTATCTCCAATAACTTCCATTACTGGGGGTTGGCACAACCCCATGGCTTTATCTTGCTACACACCAATGGCTGGCAGTCTTTGGGGCAAGACCAGATTCCTTTCATATGGATGCTGAGATATCATTGCCCTCTGAGTTGTCCCTGGCCCTTGCCATCCTCAGAACTCAGGAACCAGCCGGGGGAAAAGCCTAAGTACTGTGTCCCATCCACAAAGGACAAAGGAAGACTCCTTCCCACCCCTCCTCCAGCATCTTTCTAGCAAGGGACAACTCTGTTAGTAAACAATGACAAAGTAACAAGGAAGTTGTCAATCAAGATCTGTGACAGATCTTACTAACTTCATCCCAGGGGCGATGGGGAAGATCATTGGACAAAACATGGGGACAAGGTATGGGACCTGGAGCACCTTTGCTTCCTTCTCCCAAACTGTTTTCTGCTATGTCATCATCTACAATCTATCTTTTGGAAAACCACACTTGCCTGCCAGCCATCCATACTCTATGGAAGTTTGGAAGTCATCAGCGATACAAGATGGACCAGGAGAAGATGCAAGTGGATGTTGTTTGCTCTTTATTTTTATTCTTTATCTTCTTGTACAGAAAGAGACAAAAGTTAACAGCAAAGCTCGACAATCATAAAAAGCAAGAAAGCGAGAGCAATAGAGGTCAGAAGCAAGTTTGTTCGTTGCCCCCAGGATCTAATAAAATCCTGACATATTACTGAATACACAGATTTCCCAGCTGACATAGGTCAACACATGAATATGAGCACAATTTAAAGTGGTACCAAAATTAATCCATTTCACAGTAATCATTTCTATAAGCTCAGTTGCACATACCAGGGTTTCCACTGTCACAAATTCACAATTACAGAGTGAAATAGCACGTGTGTTGAGGCCTGGGAAAGTGGCATCTGTGAAAGGAGACAGATTGGGAGGCAAAAGCAGCTAGGGTACTGGTCCCATTCTGGGTATCTGTGTTAATGCTTGGCTGGGGGCAGGAGAAGGGCAGGCACTGTTCAGCGGTCAGATAGCAGTACAGTGAAACAACTGTTGAGCGTTGAGCCCAAGGGGGTGTGCTGTTTGGATATCTTTGTGAGAGAAATTCCTGCTAGAGAGAGAGAGAGACTCACCGCCCACAGCCTGTGAAAGGAAAAGCTCCCGAAGTTTAAATATTTGGGGGCAAATGATGGGAGCAGCCAGTCTGCAAGCACAACATCTGCTTTACAGAATACTTAGAAAGACATATACTTGTGTTTAAAATTGCAGTCAAGTTCACAAACTATGTTATTCAGAGGATAAATACAAGAGTGGAGTGAAAGGCTGAAATTTCCCACAATGAAGAGAGAACAAGGGATCACCCTGCACAGAAGGAACCTTACAGACGAGAAATGCTGAACCCCAAAGCTGAAGGCACGGTGAAGGGATCCTTAATATCTTGAGCCCTTCCTTTGAAAAGGGGACTCACTTTAAACTGGATTCCTCTTACACAGAAGACCCTGGAAATTGACCAATGGGAAGTATCTTTTAAATATTTTTATGTAGCAGGAATTGCAGCTATCGTGAATTATCTCAAATTGTGATTTTCTCTAAGTTCTGAATTATAGTGGGCTTCAAATTAATGGGCTTTTACAGTAGCTGCAAGCAGTCTGATTACAGTACTTTTAAATTAGCTAATTACACTGATTAGTATTAGTAGACTTCAGTGGGGGAGTGTGTGCTTGTTTCTGAATCAGAGAAGCCCTGAAATGGAGCTTCATCCCTTGTCAAGCTGAAAAGCAGTTCAGCCTTGACCGTGAGTGGACACACAGGAGCCAGAGCATATACATTATTCTAGAAAGAGCCTTGGTGATTCAGAGAGCCTCTCTCCATCATCTTGCTCTCACTTGGACAAAAGAACAATCTAGAGGCAGTGCTTTTTTTTTTCTCATGGAATACAAGTTGGTTGTCAAAAAAATCTACTCTGGCTGGGGGCTGGGAATCTCCATGCACTTGGAGAAGGGAAGCATCTGGCTCCAACTACTTAACAAAAAGACACTTTCCTGTCCTGAATTCTGAATTCCTCCAATGGGCTACCAAAAAAAGACAATGTCCATCAAATCAGGCACATTCCTGTTTTCCAAAGCACCCTAAAGATTTCACACTAATGGCAGTGGGATTGGCAAGTAGAAAGGAGGCCTTGGCCTCCTGGGTCCAACTGCTCAGCACTGCGTCTCCCTCAGCCAGGGCACAACGCAGCTGTGCAGGGGATGTGCACGCGCCAGGCACCTGTGCACCCCACTCTTTCTCTTGTGCTTTCATTTTGAAAACCCAAGGTGATGGGCAATGGGAAAGGGACAGGATTGCAATTCTTGTTTTAAAAAGTGTTAAAAAGTTTTTGGTTGAAAATGAGTGACAGTCATATTTCAAGGAACTTTTTAAAGCCTTTTCTTTTTTAATGAAAAATATCTAAGTAACTAGCCCCACCATTCCCAAAGTCAATTGTCACACATCTTTCCACACACACACGCACACACACAAAAAAAGTATCCAGGAGTACTGAGAATTCCTTCAGCTTCTGATGCCCACAGAACAGAGCCAAGGCAGGGGCACCATGCCAAAAGAGTGTGAGTGGGGGACCCACAGAGTGAAACGCCTTCATCTTCTTCCAAAGCCTTTTGTTGGGGGACAAAAAGTGATGACTTTGGGTGGGGGCTCCAACAGTTAATCTCAGTTTTCCTCACTCAGGGCCCTGTCAAGGCTGCCCAGCCCTAGGAGGGGACATTCCTTCTTTCAGACCGGATCCCTCCTGGTACAAATATAGCCGCACACCGGCTATTGTTTCAGATAAGCAATGAGAAAAGGCAACGTGCATACGTGTATACACACACACACTCATACACAAGTCCAAAAACAACAAAAATGTGGCTACTGAAGTGTTAGCATTGTATCAAATCAACATTCATACAAAGACAGTTTGAAAAGATATGTACAGGGCATTCGTAAAAGCCAAGTGTGCACCGCAAGGAGTTCTACCCACTGTGCATACTCTACAGTCTTTTTTCTTCTACTATATGCTGCAAAAACCATCCCAGAGGCTTTGGCACAACCCCACCTGGAAAAACTCTGTGAAGCACCTGAACCAGAGACCACAGGCTTTAAAGAATTGCCTCTGGCTCTCCCTGCAGTCTGTCCTCAGCCCAAGGAACACCTGCTGCCCTCCACAGGCCAGTCTCCAGGCTTCTGCTTCCTACTCTTTCTGTTGGCCACCACTCAGCCTCAAGATACTGGGCTCAATAGATGCCACGGGCAGTGGGCATTCCTTGGCATAATCCCTCTGGCTCTGGTGAGCGGAGCCTATGCCTGGTTCTCTGCTACCTGGTAGGGGGAAGGGAGACACATTGGGCTAGGTCTCTTTTCACATACTCCCAGGTCACTCTTGGGCACCTGCTTGAGAAAATCCTGGGAAAACTGGGGCTGGCCCCAGACTTTCTGGATTTCTCCAGGTCCTCCAACATGGCTGAATGGAATTGGCCCCAGTTTCCATCATTGAAAAAGTAAGGGACCTTTCAGGCCAAAAGTCCCTTCATGAGGAAGGGCAGGAGTGCAATGCTAGTGGTCCAGGGAAGGGAAAGAGGAAGGTAGGCAAGTGGGAATGCCACCTGGTCAGCATCTCTGGCATTAGAGAACACTGAGGAGAGGGCAAAGGATACAAAAAGGGTCATCTGGCTGGAGATTCCTCAGGTTGAGACTCAACATCAGAGGCAGAAAGGCCCTCAGAAAACCTTACATATTTCTAGAAGAATCCCCCTAAGGGCAAGCCTCACTGGCTCGATGGTGCTTCAAGCATTAGCTTAGTCAACCTCCTGAGGCTGTGAGGAAGAAGGAAGGATGGGAAAACATACCCACAGGATCACATTAGCCAAGCTGTCAGCCTCCTGACTTTGACCATATCCTGGGACTTTCCCCAGGACTGAATGGGGCCTCCAGAAATCATCTGTGGCCCCAAGGCAAGGCTGTATGCAGGGAATGAGTCCCGGGATGTCTGCCTTGGAGAGCTGTTTAGACAAGGAAGCTTGTTATCAGTGGGCTTTAAATTGCTGCAGTTGCCAATAGACCCTTGCTCTGCACTCTTTTGGGCCCCAAAAAATTTGCTACATTTTTTAAAGCACCACAGAGGAAAAATGATTTGGCACTGCAGCCAGGAGGATGGTGAGGAGGTGGAGAGAGATGGTATCAACAATGCCTTTTGCATGGTTACTGGCACAGTTACAAAGCAGGTCACCTTGCCCAGTTGCTGCCCAAAGCCTCACCATAAATGGACCAGCACCTAGCCATGGCAGAGCAAACCCTGGATGGGCCTTCAACCCCAGGTCATGGGCTCCCACACAAATAAATTTTGAAAAAGACACACTTTGGGATCTTCTCCTCAGGTGGGCACCATCATTAAGGAGAAATCATCAATCTGAAGTTCAAGTTCAATGCATCTATTCACAAAAAGGGAAGTATCCTAAAATTTCAAAGCCAGAGAGCTCCATGCTGAGGAGGCCAATCTCATGGGTTTAATTGTCCTGTGGATTAATCAACCACACCAGGAGAAGACTTCAGCTACAGGACCCAGCCTGCAGCCCAGTCCTTTAGGAGGGCATGAACTCTACAGGCAGGGTCAGGAGCATCAGTTTTCCCCAGGACAAAGTGCTTCTGGGCTGCAAGTGGGCTCAGGCCTATGGGTAGTGGTTTTAACAGAGCTGGTATACAGGTCTGGGGAGATCAAGCACACCAAAAAAGGGTGGCACAGTTCTTGTGGACCCCTTGGTCAATCTGCATGGAGTAGCTCTGCTACCCAGCCGCCTGCCCTGCATCCTTCACACAGACCTGGTCAGGAGGGTGGGGGTGGAGTCACAGAACTGTGCAACTGACTTCCCTAGGCCTCATAAGAATGGCCTGGGTGCTATTGTTTTGTTTGTTATTCATCTTTGTTATTACATGTTTTGTAATTACATGATTCGTTTTGTTGTTGCTAAATCCTTGTCCCATCGTTACAACGTAAGAGAGGACAGAAAGCACAGAACTATTGAGGAAGACTGGTGCTATAGGGCTGGCTTCTCTCCCTCACCTCTGGGCCCATACACAGGTCTCCAGCCAGCCCCACAGCTCCAGCCACAATCAACACAATGGACTGATTCCTTTGGCATTAAGAGAAGCCAGTCCCTGATGGGAGGACAGGACAGTGGGGGTTTGGGAGGTTTGGGAAGAGCTGGGCTCTCAGGTGTGTAGCTCTTCCCAGGGGGCTTTGCCTCATGTGTGTTCCTGACCCCCATCCTCCCCACCTGTCTCTGACAACTGACTTCCTAAAAATCCACGGTTAGGGAATTATTTGGCAACAAGGAGGCTAAGGCTGTTTTGTGGTGGCACAGTCTTTCAAAAGTTGAAAAGAAAACAGGAGGCCTCAGAAAGAGGCTTTCACACAGGCCAGAACAAGTGACCTACTACTTGTCTGCACCAGGGCTGGCAGCCACTATCTCCTCATATTTTGGGGGTGGATCACTGTAAGAGACACTGGCCTCCCCACTGCTGCCCTCCTGGGGTGCGGTCACCTCCTCGTAGGAGGGAGGAGGAGTGGCACTGGACAGCCTGGAGAGAGAGAGCTCAGGGAGGTAGAGAGTGCTCTCAAGCCGGACTGTGGCTCTGCCCCCTCGGCCAGACCCCAGCACCACCTGTTGGGTGCTCCCAGCCTCACGGTGACCAGAGGACTCTCCCTGGCTATGCACAGTGCCGCGATACACCATGACCCGGGGGAGGCTGTGCCCGGTGCGACTGGCTAGGTACCGGTTCTGAGCATAGGAGGGGTGATGACGAGTTGCTTTCTGCAGCTGGCACCTCCAGATGATGAACAAAGCGATGACAATCAGCAACGCTACTCCTAGAAGGGGCACAACCACATACATGGCATCCGAACTCTGGGAGGGGTCTCGGACTGAGTAGACAGCATTGGGGTACCCCTTCCAGAACTCCATCTGCAAAAGAAGAAGGGCTACTCACAATTGGGAAAGGTGGATGTAAGGAGATGCTCACCAAGTGCTCATGCTCCACATAGACCCCAGTGGCCTTCAGCAAGCCTCAGCTTAGGCTGGGCAGGACCTGGGGCTCTTTCCCACCATTCCTCTTCTGACTGCCCTGGAAGATCCATCAGAGAGAGGCTGTAGAATGGACCAAGCACAAAAGACAACGCTGCCATGTGAGAAGGCCCTCCCAAAATCAGGCAATGGAACTGGAAGGGCATTTGATCTGTTCCTCTCTGACCCCAGTGGATATGCTAAGCTGGGGTGGCTTTTATTCCTTGCTTCTGACCCAGCCCAGGTATCCAGGTCTGTTATTGTTGTTCCTGGGTCTACTTTTACCCCCAGAACCCAGCCCCAAGGTAGTACATGCCGTTTTCTCTTTGTTCTCAAACACCTCCTTGACTTCCTCATAGCTGCAGATCTCTTCCATGCACTCTCGCTCAATGGTGCCCTGGCGCAGCTCCTCCAGGAACTCGTTGGCACGAGGGAACCGTTTCAGGACAGAATGTGCATTCTTGGCCTCCAGAAACACTGAGGAGAGAGTGGTACTGAGGACTGCAATGGGTGTACCCAGGCTAGCTTGGGGACAGAGGCACAATTAGGGCGGGAAACAAGGCAAAACCAGCAACCACATGCCAGGCTTCCTCCACCCAGAGGGTGGGTTGCTCTTTGCAAAAGGGGTAAAAGGGATGACTGTCTACAATGCCATGCTATTCCTATCTAGACTCCAAGGGTCCTGGCAGGGTTCAAGCCCCTGTTAATACAGAGAAAAATGAGAACCAACAGAAAGAGCAGTTTATGGTGCATGGGAGCAAGAAAGAATGCAAGTTCTGAGTTCTGTAGCCATCCATGAATAAATAAACAGGATCTGCATTTACATCTTTGACACTGATGCTGGTGGGACTCACACTGGTTGGTAATCACACAGGACTCCACCAGGAAGGCATCCATTTGCCTGAACTGGCTGCCTGTGCCATCAGGTCACCTGACATGAGTAGTTTTACTTGGGACATTCTAGTACAAAGCCAGGCTGAGGAGATTAATGCATATGAACCTGAGAGTACATCCTGGAATGGAGGCGTGGGGTCTACATGGAGAGTCTAAGCATTAGTAGATCTGGCACATACCCTTCCTGAAAAACTGCCATTAAGTGGTAACCATATATATTCTAAAAGAACAAACCCAGCTACAGTTGGATGACTGGCATGACATGAGCTATGTATCCCCAAAGCTGAAGTTTTGGAGGATGAAATAAGAGGTAACATTTGCTCCTGGTGTTCACCCAGAGGTGGGACACCTCTTACTTTCCCCTTCTCTAGGCCTCATGGCCTGTCCCATTAGTGTGTTACAAAGGCCTGGTAAGTGCACATCTCCAAGTAACACATGCTCCAGAAATCAGCCTCAGGGTGAAGAGAAGCTGCTGCTCAGCCAATTGGACAAGAGCCACAGGGCCACCTAGGGAGAGGAAAGCTGAGAAGGGCTTGAAAAATGAACATGTTCTTCTCCCATGAGTCCCAAGGCAGGGCTGAAACCCATTCTGCTGGGTCAGGAGAAACTCACCTGCCATGATGCTCCCTTAGGCTTCAGTGGCTCACTCGCCTGGCAAGAGAGAAAAACAGAGTTGTGGTGAAATCACACCTTCATATCTTTGGGGAACCCCCTCCCTGCCCTGGAATGGGACACCCCACACTGACCTGGTCAAAAGATCAAGGCAGCACATCATGAGGTGCAGCACCCTCCATGCCCTCCACTCATACCTCCCGTTGTTCTCATTCTCCCTCAGGCTCTTCTCTAGAGCTTCCCAGGGACCCAACAGCCCAAAGCAAAGCTTTCAGCTATTTCCCCCAGGAACACATAAGGGTTGACCTTTTTCTTTAAAAAGGAAAACTCCTACAAGCTAAAGCTCTTTCCTTCCTCACCCCCTCAATGAATCTTTGTGCCTTCACACTGGAAAGGACCTCAGAGACAGATAAGGAAATGAAGCCCAGAGAAAAGGGGGAGGGGGAGATTGGGCAAGGTTAAGCAAATGAACCACAACAGAGACAGGACCTGAATTCAGGTCCCAGATGCCTTTAATGATAAGCACATTCCTTGAAAACCAAACTTAAGACAACAACAATCATCTCCAATGTCCTACAGTAACCATCTGCACACACCTGTTCTGCATGGTCAGATCCCCCACCTACAACACAGTCATATTCTTACAATCCCAAAACAAGATAACCTGCTCGGTTCATTTTCACCATTCAGGGAGGCAAGATAACTGGGCTGTTCTGGAAGAAGGCATCTCTCAGTCTCTTTGTGTTAAAGTCCAGTGAAGCAGAGTACCAAGAAATGGATTTAAACAATCAAAACTGAGACAAAGGGCTGCAATAGAGCTCAGGGACAGAGCACTTGCTTAGCATGTGCAAGGTCCTGTGTTCCATCCTCAACACACACATGTGCATGCAAACACACCCACACCTACACACACACACACAAACACCCCTGAGATACTAACTAGAAGAGTTGCCTCTAACATGAACTAGCATCTCACAGCCTCCTCTCATTTTCTCCTAAGGAGTTATCTGGCCAATATGTAAACCATGGGCACAGTGTACCACTCTCCTGCCCCTCCTTGCAACACACATTCCCATGCACTCATCCACCATATTCTGGAGCACTGGACAGGCCATCCACATCTGGGAGCAATCATCCCCACTGTTCCCCTCCCCAAGCAGAAGCTCATGTTTTATGACTAACGGGATGCAAGACATGTGAGCTGTGTAACCCATTATGCTACCCTTTTTGCCTAGGCTGCCAGGGAGTTCAGTGTTAACACTGATAGTCCAGCACATGCGCCCTGGGGCCCCAGCTGTTAGGCACATATGCTTCTCTCCTAAAAGTTGGTGTGGTTTTCTATTTATGTTTCCAGAATCCTATTGTACATTTACACTGTGGTTTCTAATCCTCTTGGCAAAAAGGTAGGACAGAAAGCATGGATAAATTCACAATGAAAGAAAAAACAACAAATCAAACATCCATCTGTGGTATCACCATGTCAAGGGGCTTTCTCTATTGAATCTTGCAACAATCTCACCAAAGACTCTTGACATATGAATGTGAATTTGCCAAAACATGGGCCTACCATTTTGTGATAGTTGTCACTTAATGTTTATAATGGTAAAGATGGGACATTATCTCAAAATTCTGCCTTCATTATGGATATCCAAAGCCCATGTCTTGAGGTGTGGGGCTATCAAGCCTGACAGCAAGGTCTTTTGGTTGAAGGAAAATGGAACCGTTGTGTCAGTGTTTGAAAAGAATGAGCAAAGGCTTCACTAATAAGGGAAGAAAGAAAAATATGCTTCATTGCTTATGGAAGGGAACTGCGATGTTTTTAATTTTTTTTTACATGGAAAAATTACATAATAGCATACATACAGCCAGCTACCTTTTGTCCCAAACACATAGACTTTGGTACATGCACACCCACACATATCACGGACCCAAGTGTAGGTTATTCTGGCACCTGCAGAAGTCATTAGTTCATTTCTAAGCTTCAAAGGAGCCAAGATCTCCCCAAAACAGCTCACATGGCATTGCCCACTGCATTAGCAATTCTGTAGCCACCATCACTGCTGCTGCTGCCTGCCATGAGGCCTCCTCCCCCTCCCTCCCCAAAATTTAGCGCCTGCTTCTTCCCCTATAAATACACCATCAATAGGCAGTTACTATGGCAACAGTGAAGAAGCGCGAGGGCTCCACGACAGAGAATGCTGCTGCAGTCACGCATGTATATGTCCCTCCTGCCCCTGGTGGATACTGTAAAGCTGATTGTAGGCTGAAGGAATTTTTAACCCACTCCCCACAGGAACACAGCTGAATCCTGACAGCCTGGAAAGGAAGGAAGGCACGGAGCTGGCCACCACAAAGACCCTCCTTAACCCCACCCCAGGCCAAAGCCTGTGAATCACAGCGCTCTGGGACACACAGCTCCTAAAGTCCCTTACATGGGGACTGGTGGCCACCAGAGCACCTGGTGTCCAAAGACATGGCCTCAAACCACTTCTCCAAATCTTAGCCCTATTGATTTCCACCACTCAGAACTGATCGGCAGGAAAGGGTTCTGTGATTTCCAAATCTCATGACTCATCGACCCACCCAGTGACACGGCAACTCCCAAATTATACTGAAACTCAAACTCTGGGGCCCCCGTGTCCCCTAGCACTCATGCCATCCGTGAAAGTGCCTGTCCTCGCCCACCTTTGCCCGACACCAACACCTTGGCCAATAACTACTGCTTCTGGCCCAGCAACACTCTTCTCCCGGGTCTGCTTGAGACCTCAAACGCCTTGGCCGACAGGGCCTCCAGATCCTCCCCCCTCCCCAACAGTGCCCCATGCCCAGCTCAGTGGCCCTGGACACGGAACCGTGCCCTCGGGGATGGGGCACCCAACCCAAACGGCCTCACCGTTCTCCGGGCCCAGGAGGCGGCCGCCCTGTTTGCGCACGCAGCCCGCCACCTCGCTGCTGCGCCTCTTCCAGCAGGGCCCCTGTCCCCGCCCACCTGCTCCCCGTCGGCCAAGCCCCCCAGCCCAGCCCAGCCCTCTCCTCCCTCTGTCCCTCCCAGCCCCGCTGCCCTCCCGCCGCCCCAGGCGCCCGTAGCCCTCCCGGCCAGGGCCAAAGTGCGCCTGGAGCCCCGCCCCTCGCAGCCAGGCACCCAGGCCCTGCCCATTACCTCAATACCCCCCTGCCTGCCCCTGATCTCCTCTGGGGTCTCCGCCGCTGCCCGCCCCCCACACCCCGCCGTGCCAGGTCTGCCCTCGCGCCCCGATCCTCGCGCGCCACCCTCGAACGCCACGACCGCTGTGCCCCGAACGCCAGGCCGCGATCGTCGCGCTGCACAGCGCACCAGGCCGCCAGGCCAGGAGAGGAAGGAGGGGTGGGGGCGACCAGAGCGGGCAGAGGGTTTAGGGCGGGAGGGCCGGCAAGCTGGGCCAGAGGGGCGGCGGCGCGCACCGATCACCGCGCGCCCGCGCCCCACTCCGCCGGCGCCGCCCCTGCCCCCGCCCGTGCCGCCGGGGGGCGGGGCCTGGCCAATGGGCCTGGGGCTCTCTGAGGACCCTCAGACACTTCACTGGACAAGTTGTGACCCAGGGCGTGGGCCCTCGGAAGACCTAGTGCAGCTGCGGGCTCTGGCGGCCGCACCCAAGGCCCGAGAGCCAGGCGTCCCTGAGCAGCCCAACCCCCTCCTGTCCCCCACCCGTGCTCACCTGCCATTCTGGCTGGCCTAGCTCTGGGTGCCGGCCCAGAAGTGAGGGGCTAGTGCTAGCAGCCCGGCCCACTTTGCTGGGATTCCACTGAGCCCACAGAAGAAAGGCTAAGTCGAGGCCAGGTTTGGCCAGTGACTAAGTGACCTTGGCTTCCTCTCTTACCCACTACCACACCCTGACCCTGGACAACAGGTTTCTCTGCAGTAAAATCTGAGAAATGGGGAGAATCCAGCTGCCTCCCTCTCAAGGATGAAGCTAGATGAAGGAAAAAACCTTAAGGTGCCAAAAGGGGAGAGTAAGGAATTTTCTGGGCCAGCAAGGAGCACCAGGTTGGGGAAGGGGCTCCACAGGCTGCCCTGTGGGAGGTTCAGCAAGATAGGACAGGACACTAGTAGCATAGGGATGACACTAGTCCAGGAAAAAGAGCAGGACAAGATGGTTAGGAGGGACCTAAAGATCTGGGTGGTAAAACCTTTGCAGTGGGTGGGTCCCGTTGTGCCCCGCTAGGTATGGGACTCTTTTTTGATCTTTGCACCTCTGAAGTGGAGACCAGCAATGGAGTTGTCAAATGGGAATGAGTCTGAGACACTCATGAAACTATTCCCGCCCAGATCCCAGGCAGAGAAATAGCAACTGCCTTGCCAGGTGAAGGGGAGAGGAAGGCCTCCATCACTGCAGGGCCTCCTCCTCTCCAGCTCTCAGGACTTGCTTAAAGCTACCTTGGCCAGATCTGGCTCCCCCACTGCCCCTGAACCTACCCTTCTCTCTTCCCTCTTCCACTGCATTGGCACTTTTGTCTCTACTCCAGCCCCCTATTCTGAATCCTTCCCTGGCTTGGTTCCTGTTCCTAGGCTGCAAGAGTCTTCCTTGCCAAAGACAGACCTGTGAGCCTTCCTCCATTGAAGGCCAGGAAAGCCATGTCCCTGGGGCCTACAAGGCAGGTTCTGCAGAGATAAACAAGATCAACTGAGGATGCGAATGTATATATTCTCAAAGGACTGGATAGAGAAACCCTGTTTCAAGGAGAGAGCTGGGCCATGGTTGTTGGTAGAAACAAATGTAAGCTCTTTGGGAACTAATCTGAGCCTCATAGGCCACCAACACATTCCCATCCCGATCTTAACAACCACAGACCCATGTACAAGCGACTGTTGTAAAGGTATTGCTTCCAGTGTGCACTCACAGCTGTATAGGTCCTGCTCTCCCCCCAGCACTGCACTTGAGCTTCTGGCTCTAATAACACAAGCCTATTTCTAGTTCCTTGTCTGCTTTGAATGCCTTTCCTCCCACAGTCGGCCTGGGGCACTTGCATTCATTCTTCCCACACAGTGCAGATGACATCTGTGCTATGAGGTCTTGTAAGGTCCCACCCAAGTTGACCATTCCATTCTCAGCACTGTGTGCAGTGAAGATAAATGTGGGGGCTTTTCTGTGCATCAAGGGAGTGGAAGGACAAAAAGCAATAACTGCGGGTTGGGCTGCCTGCTGCACCCCTTGGCAGGACTGCATATTGGCTCTGTGATCTTTAGCAAATGACTTTGGCTCTCTGCATCTCAGTTTCCTTATTTGCCAAATGGGAATAATGCTATTAGTACCAGCCTCAAAAGTTTAAGAGGGTAAATGAAATAATCACTTAGATGGTGTATGCCTGGTGTTTATATGTGAGTGGAAAACATGTCAGCTTTGTCTCATTCAGCCACATTCTGTTCATTAGGTGGCTTGTTAAAGTTGTGCATTTGTCTCCTCTCTCTTAGGAACAGGGACCTTGTGTCTTTCTATGTCCCTAACATACAGCACAAAGCCTTCTCCACACCTTGTAGGGCTGAGGCAGGAGGTGCTGGGCTGAAGTGATGAGTGCCACTGAATGTCAGCCTTCAACTCACTACCATGATGTTGTCCCCAACACTAAGGGTAGCTTTGGCCCTTGCTTCCTCCCTGTGGAGAACCTGAGTCTTGGGGTATCAACACTGTCCAGGCATTCTGACTTCCTTGAAGGACTTTCTTGCTTCCCTTACAATGGCTCCAAAAATTCCTAGAAAATGGCAAGGCAGGGTGGGTGTCCTCCCTCCCTCTCTTCCTTTGCATGATTTTAGATGTTGCTCTGAATAGTATCCCCTTGAACCATAGGGAAAGGACTTAGCCATTGGCTCCATAGATGGGCCAGGAAATGTTCAGTTTGGTGCCTTCAAGGTGTTTTCCTTTGCCAGCCAAAGTGCATTGCTTTAGCCCCCCTTAATCTGCTGGCATATGTCAGATCCTTACTGCTATGGTTTAGACATGAGTTATCCCCTGAAAGTTCATGTGAGACAATTCAGGAATGTTCAGTGTGACATTATTAGATTATTAGAGTTGTGGGCTGATTGGTGGCTTAATTCACTTGAATGGATTAGCTTAGTGGTAACTCTAAGTAGGGTGTGGATGCAGGAGGTAGGTTACCTGAAGCCTGTATTTGGGTTAATATTTTGTCGTTGGAAAGTGGAGCTCCCTTTGCTTCCTGGTTGTCATGTCCTGAGCTGCCTCCCTCCCCCACGTCCTTTCACCATGATGTTCTGCCTCACCTCAGGCCCACAGCTATGGAGTCAGCCAGTTGTGGACTGAACCTCTGAAACTGAGAGCCAAAATCAACTTTTTTTTCCCTCCAAGTTGTTCTTGTCAGGTCTTTTGGTCACAGTGGGGAAAAGCTGCCTAGAACACATTCACTATATAAAGACTAGAGAGCTACACTGCTCTTCCTGGAACCCTTTACTCCCTTTGCTCACCTCCATCACACCCGTGCCCTTCTTTGCCCTTCTCTTGCCCTGCATCACTGATCTCTTCAAACATAGCTTAGAACATCTAAATCATCTAACTCATGTGTTGGAGTTGTAGGAAGACACAGCTCTGAAAGAGTTTAGAGTGATTGCTAATTTTTTAAAAGGCAAAAAACAGATGTTAATTCAGCAAAAATTCTCAAGAGAGTACAAGAGGACAGACTTTCAACCCTGAATTTGATCTAGCATCTAACTTGTCTCTATTTCTGATCCATATTCCATTCAGTAGAGCTGGCTTCCTGGGTGTGTGACCAGCATTGTCAGGCAGGACTGTGTGTTTAGAAGGGCTCTCCCCACTTGGTTTGGTGCTCTGCTGTCATCATCTTCAAATTCTTAATATTTGTTGAACAAAAGGTCTTCATTTTCATTTGTGTCAGCCCTACAAAGTTATGTAGGTGATGGTACCCATTGATGACATTCTTGCTGTCCCTGATTCTTTCCCAGGGGATAAGGTTGGCCATCACCCACCACTTCTCTGACTCCTTCCCTCCTTATCTCTGCAAGCCTTGGTCAGTTCCTCCTTTCCTCATCCCTCAACTCCACCAAGTCCATCACCTTCCTCCACTTTGCCTCTCTACTACCCCATCTTTACACCTTATCCTCTGCTTGAGATGAGTGCCCTCTTACAGCCTCATTCACTCCCAGATCTTCACTCTTCCTGATACTCATCCATTTTATAATTGAACACTACTCTGCACTCTACAGCCCCTAGCTTCTTATGTCCTTACCAAGCCTCACTTCATCCTTGAGCCTAAACATCCATCTTTAACCCATAAGAGACTCACTCTGTGTCTGCCCACTGATCAGACAATTAACCAGGCTATGAGCTGAATTATATCCCCCTCTCCAAATTCATATATTGATGTCCTAATCCCCAGTACCTCACAATGTGACTATATTTATAGATAGGATCTTTAAAAAGGGAACTAAGGTAAAATGAGGTCTTTAAGGTGGACCCTAATTTTGTGAGGCTGGAGTCCTGATAAGAAGGGTTGGTTAGTACACTGGTACACACAGAGGATGCCCATGTGACATTTCAGAGGAAGACAGATAGACATTTGTAAGCCAAGGATAGGTGGAACCAATCCTGCCAACAACTTCATCTCCAACTTCCAGCCTCCAGAACTGTGAAATAATATAATTCTCTTCTGTGAGCCATGCAGCCCATGTTATTTTGCTAAGTCAGTTGAAGCCAACTCATAATCAGGTATTTACTCAATGGTATTATGTGCCAGGCATTTTTCTAGAACTCAGGATTACAGAAAATAACAAACCATAACACAATCCTATCCTCATGGATATTAGTAAAAAAAACCTAAGAAGTCAAAGATGTTGGATGGTGGATGATGACCAGTACTATGGAGAAAAATGGAGCAG